TAGGACGACACCTCGGTAGCCAAAAACACTATGAAGGAAAAGCTGGGGGGAAAGAGAGGCCTCAGTGAGTCTGCAGTCCAGCAAGTCCATCCAGACGGGACACAGACCACAAAACAGCACAGACATTTGAACTCCTGCACGAGGTCTTGCCACTATTTTCCTTAAACTCTGCAATCTCCCCAGACCAGCTTCAGAACACTCTTACCCCATCTTCACCTGGCTGGCCTCTACTCATCCTTTAGGCCACAATGCAGGCCTCTAGGAAGTGTTCCCTGACCTCCCCTTCGCTTAGCACAGTGCACAGCTGTTGGCCACTTGCATATCATAATTCGTTTCTAAACTGTCAACTCCATTAGGCATTGATTTCTGATTTAACTCCAATGCACAATGTAGGCACACCGGAAAAATGCTGAATATACAAAGTCCTCCTTACCTACATGAAGCCTGAATCCATCTCAGCGGATCTGGCACAAAACTGATTCAGAAAAAGCCTCACACCCAGAGCTTACTACACTGCAGAGAGCTGAACTATGACAAAGCACCAGGCATATTTTTCTGAAACCCCCTCACTGGCTTCCCACCATCCACTATGTTAGAGGACACTTCGGTAACTTAGCTCTCTCCTCACTACAGTCCAAACCATCTCTGTCCACACTAACTTGGAGAGAGAACCCACTGACATACGAAATGCATTCGAATCCAGGAAAACAGAAACCCACCTTTATTTTTTATTTTTAAATGTATTTTATTGATTATACTATTACAGTTGTCCCATTTTCCCCCCTTTATTCCCCTCTGCCCTGTGCACCCCCTCCCACCCACATTCCCCCCCTTTAGTTTATGTACATGGATCGAACATATAAGTTCTCTGGCTTCTACATTTCCTATACTATCCTTAACCTCCCTCTGTCTTCTACCTAACATCTATGCTACTTCTTCTCTATACCTTTCCCCCCTCCCCACCCACTCCCCCACTGATAACCCTCCATGTGATGTCCATTTCTGTTTCTGTTCCTGTTCTAATTGCTTAGTTTGTTTTTGTTTTAGGTTCAGTTGTTAATAACTGTGAGTTTGTTGTCATTTTACTGTTCATGTTTTTTATCTTTTTTTTGTCATTTTACTGTTCATGTTTTTTATCTTTTTTTTTTAAGATTTTGTATCAATGTATGGTTGCCTCTTGTAAGACCCCTGCTGGGAACTGGCCTGCAAACCAGGCATGTGCCCTGACTGGGAATCAAACTGCGATCCTCTGGTTCACAGGCCCATGCTCAATCCACTGAGCTGTACCAGCCAGGGCTATCTTCTTTTTCTTAGCTAAGTCCCTTTAACATTTCATATAAGGGCTTGCTAATGATGAACTCCTTTAACTTGACCTTATCTGGGAAGCACTTTATCTGCCCTTCCATTTTTAATGACAGCTTTGCTGGATAGACTAATCTTGGATGTAGGTCCTTGCCTTTCATGACTTGGAATTTCTTTCTAGCCCCTTCTTGCTTGCAAGATTTCTTTTAAGAAATCACCTGATAGTTTTATAGAAACTCCTTTGTAGGTAACTATCTCATTTTCTCTTGTTGCTTCTAATATTCTCTCCTTATTTTTAATCTTGGCTAATGTAATTATGATGTGCCTTGGTGTGTTCCTCCTTGGGTACATCTTTGGGACTCTCTGAGTTTCCTGGACTTCCTGGAAGTCTATTTCCTTTGCCAGATTGGGGGAGTTCTCCTTTATTATTTGTTCAAATAACTTTTCAAATTCTAGCTCTTCTTCTTCTCCTTATGATACACCTATGATTCAGATGTTGGAACATTTAAAGATGTCCTGGAGGTCCCTAAGCCTCTCTTCATTTTTTTTTTTTGAATTCTTGTTTCTTCATTCTGTTCTGGTTAAATGTTTCTTTCTTCCTTCTCATCGACACCATTGATGAGTCCTGATTTCCTTCCCTTCATTGTTGGTTCCCTGTACATTTTCCTTTATTTCACTTAGCATAGCCTTCATTTTTTCATCTAATGTGTAACCATATTCAACCAATCCTGTGAGCATCCTGATTACCAGTGTTTTGAACTGTGCATCTGTTAGGTTGGCTATCTCTTCATCACTTAGCTGTATTTTTCCTGGGATTTTGACCTGTTCTTTCATTTGGGCCATTTTTTTTGTCTTGGTGTGCCTGTTACGTACGTAGTAAGGGGCAGAGCCTTAGGCGTTCACCAGGGCAGGGCAACCCACGTCCCTGGGTTATAACACTGTTTATGCGGGAGGGGTCAGAGAGGGATCAGTGCCGCTTGCTGTGCTCTCTGCCAGTTTTTAGTCACTTCCCCCGATACCCACAATAAAATTGGGCCCTTCTCACCCTGGCTGGTGTACCTCAGTGGAATGAGCACAGGGTGAACCAAACAACTGCAGTTTGATTCCTAGTTGGGGCACATGCCTGGGTTGCAGGCCAGTTCCCAGCAGGGGACGCACAGAGGCATCCATATATTGATATTTCTCTCCCTCTCCTTCCCTTACCCTCTAAAGATACATAAATATTATCTAAAAAAAAATTGGGTGCTGATTCCTGGGTGGGTGGGCTTGTGCATGTTCTAGGACCCTGTGGGTCTCTCCAATGAACTCTCCTGTGAGGCTTGGAGTTTCTCCCACTGCCACAATCCCACAGGTGTTTTCAATCAGAGGTTTGAGACTTTATTTCCCCACACTGCAACCCTGGGTTGTGCAGTCTGTCTCGCTCCTCAGTTGTTCCTCCCGGTTTATCTGCATGCAAATGTGGGACTGCCCAGTCCGCAATCCACCACCTCGCTGAGTCCACCAGCCACCGCCTTCCCTACCAGCTGCAGCCTTGCCTACCCCAGTCCTCCAGCCGCCGCCTTACTGCAAGTCCTCTCCACCTAGCTGCCTGTCTCCACCCCTCCTACCAGTCTGGATGAATGTTTCTTCTTTAACTCCTTGGTTGTCGGACTTCCATACAGTTGGATTTTCTGGCAGTTCTGATTGTTTTTGTTTTTAAATTTGTAGTTGTCCTTCTTTTGGTTGTGCAAGGAGGCACAGTGTGTCTACCTATACCTCCATCTTGGTCACAAGTCCCCCAGCAACCCACCTTTAAACACTTGTGGTTCTGATCTGGCGCAAAGCATCAAGGCACAAAACCATAACATTCAGCCCTATGACTAAATCTGACCCTCTCAGCAGAGCACACCATGAAAAAGGAAAGAACACCCAGCCCAGCACTCACCTGCCCAGTCTCATATTTTCCATTCTGTTTTGGCACCTCAAACACACCAACTGTCTCCAAAACTTTGCCCTCTGGTCGGTTTCTGATTAGGAAGGAACAGAACAAGCAGATGAGCAGCTGAGGAGGTAACAGGACTTACCCATCAGAAAAGGCTACTAGAATACTGAGGGACCAAGGCCGTGACAGCAGACAAGGGTCAGGGGAACTGGCTGAAACAGGTAAGGGTCCTGCCAAGTCACCACCCCACACACACTCTGCAGAGCCTCTGCCTGTCCTGTTCTGAGGCCCAGCCCCAGGTTTCCACGCCAGGGTCACCTGCTCCCAGATCACTTTCTTCTCTTCACTCCCCACATGCCTCACACCATGCCCTCTCCCCTGCCCAGCTGTGCTCCTTGCCTCCCTTTCCTCCCTAAGCCACCCTCCCGACCTCCCACAGCATTTTAACTGTCCTTCCCACCTTGCATTTATTTCAGTTATTTGTGCCCATGTCTTATCTCCATTAGAGACTGTAAGCTCCCTGGGAGCAATGCTTGTGTCTGATTAGCCTAGTGTATACCAGAAGCTCAAAAATATTTGTTCTGTTCTAATTTCATGTCCATCTCCCCCTCTGAACTGCAGTCTTCACCCTGCCCTTGACGGGCTTAACCATCCTCTCTAGATTTCCTCCTGTATTCCCTACAGTGCACCCTGCAGTGTCTCAGTCCAGTTTTTTGGGTCAGATTTACATCAATTTTCACATGAGTGAGAAAATGCAACTAGTTATCTCTCCCCAATATGAACGTCTAATCTTAGCTACTAAAAGGTCTGTTCTCTCAGCGACCTCTCTGCACAGGTGCTCTTTACAGAAGCTGTTCAAAGCACTGCTCTTCTTACCGTTTGGAGACGTAAACATCATGCTTCCTCCCACTTGATCCTCTGGCCCCAATTTGATCTGTCTGTCCCATCCCTGGAAACAATGTTCGCACCATCCCCATGCCTCAAGCCCTCTTCCCCAAATCACATCGAGAGAACCAGTCTGCCCAAGGTCACACTGAAACCGGGAACCAAGCGGGGCTCAGACTCAAGAGCCCCGTTTTCCCACTTCGAGCATCTTTCTGAGAGAGAACTTGACGCCACCTGGGGCTAGGGTGATCGAAGTCAAAAGCCCTAGGGCTTAATTAATAGGCTGCCCACTAATAGCGGCGCTCGGAGATCCCCACTCGGGAGGTACGATTCACTTTGGGGGGATTACTAGTTCTCACTCAGAGCCAGCCCCGCATAACCCAGGGCTCTGGACCGCGCTCCCTTCTCTGCTCCTGGCACACATCCCAGAGAGCGTAGATCAGCTTCCGGCCCGGACCCCGTCGCGGGTCGAATTCCCTCTCCCGGCCGGGCCTCCTAGTCTCCTCCCTGGGCAGGAACACGCTCTCTAGGCTCCGGGCCCCTGCCCCTCACCGGGACGAGAGGTGCCTCCGCGTCGTGGTCGCTGCAGGAAGGAAGGGCCCAGCTCCACCCGCCGCACAGAGCGGCCTTGGCCCCCGGGCACCGGTCAGCGACCGGGACCACCAGCGGCTGCCCACGGCCAGGGCCCGCCGGGCCACACAGCCCGCCATGTCCCCCACGAGCGCCCGCAGGGCTGCTGACACAAGTCCAGACCCACGGCCCGGCGGCGTCCCGCCCCCGCCCCACACTGCCCCGCGCCGTGCCCCGCCCCCTTGGCCCTCTGCCCCGCCTCCTCCCACCCCTTTGGCTCCGTGTTTCTTCCGGTGCACGGCTGGCGGAAGTCCCCTCAGAGTCACCTGACCATAGAGTGGGCTAGAAATGGCGTCTTACTTGCTCGCTGGAGAGCGGCTGGTGCGTGCTGTGGCCCCTGGCGGGGAGCTGGAGCGAGAGCACTTGCCCCAGAAGCTGCGGGCGGAGCTTGAAGCCGCTTTGGAGAAGAAGCGCAAGGGCGGTGATCGCTCCAGTGGTCCCGCACGCCTGGTTTCCTTCCGCCTGATTCGGGATCTGCACCAGTACCTGAGAGAAAGGGGTGAGGCCCATTCTCCAGCGTGGAGTTGCCTCCTCTTCTCCAGAGTCTGTTCCCTCTTGAAGTCTCTTCCCCACCTCTAGCATCTTTATCCATCACTCTCCTTTGATGACCGCGGAATGGTCATCGAGCCAACCCAAGCGTCACCCCAGAAATCCTAGAACAGATTTACTCCCTTCACAACTTCATGGGAGTTCCTCCTAGATTACAAAATATACTTGTGCAGTTTCTGCTTTCTTGAGAATCTCCACTTCCAGGCCCAAGTAGACCCACCTGACCCTTGAAGTCCAAGTTCTAACTCAGTACTACCTCACAGGGTCAGTTTCTTCCTTTTAAGTCACATGAGAAACCAACTAAGCCTGGTGGCTCCGTTGTTTGGAGCGTGGTCCCATACACCAAAAGGTTGCAGATGAATTAATTGGTATAGGAATGGCTGTGCTTTATTTTAGTAAAAAGAACAGAAAGACTAGACCCTTCTCTGATCTTAATCTTTCCAACTCAGTTCTGTGAACATTATGTTTGTGGACATATTTTCTTCCCAGATTCCACACTGTACCTTCATGAGCTCCTAGAAGGCAGTGAAATCTATCTCCCAGAGATGGTGAAGCCTCCTAGGGTATGTAAGGGATATATTTGTGAGATTGGATGTTGGCTGAGTTGAGCTTATCTGTGATACATCCAGACATGTGGGTCAACTTTTGTGTTAAAAAACTTATATTTAAAATCTGTGGGAGCTGGGGTGGGTGGGAGAACCAGATGTTGTCCTCCTTGTTTGGCAGCTTGGAAAACAGATCCATTAAAAAAAGAGTTTTCAAGGCAGTGGAGGCAGGACTGGTACATGGGCCTCCTGGTCCCCTTAGCAGTGCTTTGCCCCCTGAAACCAATGATTGTTACATATTTTCAACCAAGCTGGGAATGTCATTCTTCTCATTTGATTTTTCTGTCTTAGAACCCAGAGTTAGTTGCCCGTCTGGAGAAAATTAAGATACAGTTGGCCAATGAGGAGTATAAGCAGATCACCCGCAATGTAACCTGTCAGGTAAGGCCCTGCCCTTCAACACGTGGACTGGGTAGCCGCGGAAAGCAGGGCACTGCCCTGGGAAGAGGCACAGAGGAAAGAAGCAACATGGAATGGTTTGTATACTATCCAGGGACCAAAAAGGTTTTGTGTTTCATAGAAACCAAATGCAATTCCAAACTCATTCTCTGAGTCTCTGGGCTTAGATAGTAACTGATTCTTAAAAGTTATAGAGGTGGGAAATGAGCATTGGAGCTTTTCTTTTGACAGGGCTCCCTACCGTTCTCCGCCACGCTCCTTCCTTGGGGCAGCGAGAGGTAGATGGGTACTGGAGGCCTGTGTCTCTTCTTTGAAATGCCTGATCTTGGTCCAGAAAAGAAGCCAACTGGTCCCAGACAAGAGAATCCATGGAGAAGAAAGAGTTAATGTTTGGGCAAATAAAAACGGGCTGAGCCCAGACCAACAAATGGACACTCTCTGGGCTGCCTCTGAGCTACTTCCATTCTGAAATCATTTGCTTTTGCTTTTTCCCAGGATTTAAGGCATGGTGGGATTCTGAGTGACCTGGGCAAGGAAGGTGAGATGCTAGAATGTTGGGTGCTGAAGTATGTCCCTGGGAAGGGTCAGTCACATCATTTCCTCCCACTCCAGTGCTCTGGGGGTGAGCCTGAGCTATTCAGGGTTGCTGTTTGAGGGAGACCCAATGGATGGGGAGGCAGCCATGAGATAAGAGGGCCTCCTGGAGGATGCTGACCCAAAGGTTTCCTCCCTGGGTTCTTCCCCAAAGTGAGGTCAGTGAAGGCTCTGGTCATCACCATCTTCAACTTCATTGTCACGGTGGCAGCTGCCTTCGTCTGCACTTACCTTGGAAGCCAGTATGTCTTCACAGAAATGGCCTCGGTGAGTAGGCACTGTGGTCCGGGTAGGATGTTCCAGATGGGGGTGTTATTGGGAAAGGGAGGAAGTATGTTAACATGCCTTGCATAGATTAGGTATGGAACAAATATTTATGCAGTGAACAAGAGGGGCATTTGAGCTTTTCAGTAGTGTTGGGGGTAGATAGTAACCTCAAGAGAATCCAGATCTTTTCTTCCCTCCCCTGCTTAACTTACGGGCTGGGTGGGGGTCCCCTTCAAACTCATCAGAGGTTTTGGAGGCTGCAGAGCCGGTGGCTGGCCTTCATCCCCTGAGCCTGCTTCTCCCTCCCCAGCGGGTACTGGCTGCATTGATCGTCGCCTCTGTGGTGGGTCTGGCTGAGCTGTACGTCATGGTGCGGGTGATGGAAGGCGAGTTGGGAGAGATATGACTGGTACTTCATTATCAAAGTCTGGAGACGGTGTGGAGGGGTTCCAAGTTCCCAGCTGGCCATCACTGACTCTCGGTCAATCCATCAAGTTCTTTGTACTTGGCTCTGGTTAGTCAGGGCCAACCCCAGGATACCTACTATTTCTGTGGGGAGCCCCATCATCTGTTAATTGCCAGGGGGGTCAGTAGAGGAGACTTGGCCAACAACTGAAAAGAACTGGTCAGTCAGTACCTCCTCCTGGTTCTTGCTGCCTCTCTGCCTTCTCCAGCCCATTCAGGGCACTGCCGGCGCTGGGGTTTTCCATCCAGAGTAAATAGAACACAGGCCTTCCCAGCAGCGGATCACACTGCCTGAACTTGCCCAAGTGCACAAATCAGTCGTCAGCCTTGCTCCACACATTCTTGATGCTGACCTACAACTTAGCTTTGAAAATTCCAAGAAAGCAAAAAGGATTTCCTTTCTCCACGTTATGCTGGAAGAAGTACTGATCATAGGACACCAAATAAGAGAAAAATGAGGGGTACAGGATGGCAGGATTGGAAGTAAGGCAGCTGCCTTTTTGTAATCTTAGTTTCTATCTTCATCGTCTTCTGCTGGCCTTTTTCAGGTTTTCCATATGCTTCTGCCTGTCTCTACCACCCACCAGCCCTCTTTAAACTTCCCACCTTGTCTCCTTTGCTCTGCCTCCAAAAATGAAAACAATCTTGGCCCTAGCTGGTGTGGTTCAGTGGATTGAGTGCCAGCCTGTAAACCAAAGGGTCACCGGTTCAATTCCCAGTCAGGGCACATGCCTGGGTTGCAGTCCAGGTTCCTGGTTAGGGGCGTGTGAGAGGCAACCAACCAATTGATATTTCTCTCCTCCCATCTCTCTTTTCTTTCTCCTTTCCCCTTTCTCTAAAAATAAATAAAATTTCTAAGGAAAAAAAAAAAAATTTAGATGGCAAAACAGTGTATCTGCTTGTAATCACAAAATCCCTTGTACTTGTGTTTGTAGGGAGAGTAAACCTACTGTGGATTGTCTTAACTAGTAAAGGGAGGCATAGGGACAATTTTCAGATTTAACTGTATGTATGAATATGAATAAACATGCATATGAGTATGTATACATTTTTATACATGAACCTAACATAGGATGTTTAATACAGGTTTGTAAACACATTTGGGTGAGTGTGAAAAAGTATTAAGCACTCACAGTTGACTCATTGCTTTACACGGTTGCTCTTGGTCTTTCCAACAACCCTGGAATGTGGAAAAGGAAGTGTCTTAGACCCCTTTTCCAGAAGACAGAACTGAGGCAGAGAGAGATCGAAATGGCCCACTGTGGTCCTCCCTCTGTTAAATGGAACCAGAGACTCCTGGGTGGTCCTGAAGTCTCCATGCGATATTAAATTTCCAGAACTTAGATTTGTGGTGTGATGACAGAATCTGTATAAGGCACTTAGAAAACAATATCAGCATCAATTATTTATCCAATAAATATTTATTGTATTGTACTTATATTTCAAATCTGTGACAATGCAAAAGCCCAAAGATTTGTATAACTGAGAACTGTGCAGGGTCTGTTCCTAATGATGGACTCCATCCTTTTTCATCTGTTCACTGCATGAGCTCTGATGGGCCCCCCTGCACCCCCACCCCAGGCGCTCTGCTGTTCTTAGAAATTGGCTCAGTAGACATTTCCTCAGTGGTTTTGCCAGTTTCTTCTGGATACGGAGCAAGTCTGAGCCTCTTAGGACAGTGTTCTATAGGACAGGGGGAGTTTTAGGCCATCGCTTTGTTGAGAAGTCTTAGGATTTCTATTGTTGGTTGACAGAAATGAAAACAGAAAAAAAAATGCAGGTAGCATTTTACAGTGTTTTAAATTTAAGTTTAAAAAGCTCTGTGGAGGCCCTGGCTGGGTAGCTCAGTTGCTTAGAGTATAATCCCCATATACCTAGGTTGGGGATTCAGTCCCAGGTCAGGGCACATAAATAAGCAGAATAACAAATTGATGTTTCTACCTTTTACTCCCCCCCTCCACCTTAAAATAAATTTTAAAACATTACTTTTAAAGCTTTGTGGAAATTCTGGCTGCTTATCTGTGCTGAACTCCGTGGGCCAGGGCATCCCCATCCTTCTCATGATGAGACTGGGGTCGTTCCACACACACATTTTTCATTAGAATGTGGTCTTTCTCTAATCCCAACCCCCAAGGCCACAAGCCAAAAGGCTCCTGTGACCTTGAGCCCTTGCTGAAACCTTTATGGGCCAAGTCCTGTGCTAGCTCCCGGGGATGGAGAGGTAACCGGCCTAGTTCCCGCCAAGCAAATGGCCACTGTGCAAGGCAGTTGCAGTCTGCGGGGGCACAGTTGGAAACAGGACTCGGGTGATGGTCTCCTGTTCTCATCATAGAAAATGGAATTCTGTCTCCCCTCAGCCACTTCCTCTGCCTCACTGGACCAGGCTGTCTCTGGTACAGGCTGGGTCCAGGGCTTCCCAGGGAGAAATGGGAGTGTTGGCAGGAGGCCGGAGGAACAGGAAGTGTGGGGCCTCCCCAGTTCCTCGTGGCTGCTGTACTGCGAGCAGAAGGGAACTGGGTTGTGTTGAGAGCTTCCACGTGTGTGACATGTGGAACCCTTCACGTACATTATTGCTCTCACTTCCAAAGTGGGGAAGAGACTGGTATTATTCCCACTTTCAGGCTCATAGACTGTGAAAGAGTTGCAAGGTTACATAGCAAAGTCAGGATTTGAATCTGATTGCAGACTCCATGCTTTTTCTCTGAAGCAGAGCAGCCCCAGCAGTTGAGGCAGCTGGATTGGCCCCAAGGAGTGGGATCTGGAGCCGGGTTGCCAGCAGAGGTTCCCTGCCACAGGGTCTGAAGAGCCCTAAACCCTTCAATTAACTGTCCCTCTTAACTAATCCCAGCAGAAGCCTGAGTAATACCTCCCACCCAGCCTATTTAGGGATTAGGTGATGGAGATAAATTTCAAAAGCAAACAGCCCGTCCCTGCCCTGTTCATTTTCATTACACAACAATCCAGATTAAAGTACAGAGACAGGGTTTTATTTGGAGATGAGTTGGTATTACAGATGACCTGATACCGAAACCCTGCTGCTGCCTTCACTCCCCCCCACCATCCTAAATCCAGCAGGTTGTCTCCACAACCTCAGATGGGAGGGCAGCCAGCCTGATCTTGATGAAAATTAAACCACTATAAGCTCCAAGCTCCTATTTCTACTTTATTACTTGAATATCGCTTCATCTTCAGATCCATGGTTTGGATTTAATTTGTCCAGGTGGTAGAAGGTCAGGAGAGACCCTCAACTTTGAAAGGGCTGGTCCCTTACAGTCTAGAATTAGGATCAGCACACTCTCATCTCCTCACTCACTTAGCAGTTAGTTGCTGGTCTGAAGGTCAAAGGCAGCTGCCCGTTCTCTTGCAGGGAGGAGGTGTCTGGCTTGGGTGAGAAGCCCTGGGAACCAGATCTGGTAGGAGAACTGGAGAACATGGCCCCAAGCCTCATCCCTCTGAGGGTACTTCCTGCCAAGACGATGGACATATGTCCCAGGAGGTGCAGGGTCCTGGGTAGCAGTCTCTCCGTAGGACTCACATCTAGGCTGGCCTGCAACAGCGGGAGGGAGAGATCCCTGAGCTAAACTTCCTTTCTGTAAGAGAGCACCCTTGTGTGAAAGAAGGGGTGCAGGGATCCACTTCTGATGTGTTCGGTCCTAAGGGGAAGGGGGGCTACAGGAGCTAGAGGTGGGGGGTTGCGGGTCCTGGACCTAGATTAGGAGTGGTCCGTGTTGGTCACAACGGCCGAGGCATAGATGAGGTCAGACAGGCTGCCCAGTGAGGTCTGGGGAGTACCTTGCTCTGAGGAAAGGTGGGCCCCTGCAGCCCCAGCTGACCCCAGTGGAACTGCAGCTTGAACCCCCACCCAGCCTTGCCCTGGCCCCAGGCCTGGAGCCGGACAGCAGGCATGCCGACACCCTGTGGTGCACCGAGGCGTGCTGCTGGGGAGTGGGAGCCGGCCTAGTGTTCGGGGCTCCCAGGGCTGCTGGGGGGTATCTGGAAGAGAATGGGGTCTATAGGGGGTTTCAGGCCTAGGGCTTAGGCCTCCTGGCTTTCTGTTCTTGATTCTCTTGGCCCGCCGATTCTGGAACCACACCTGGTAAGGGAAGAAGAAAGGGTCTTTTCTGACTCCAGTACCCCTTCCCCACTAGTACAGGACAAGCAGAACCCAGAGGCAGGATACCCAGGGAGAAGTAGCTGTGGGCCAAGGCCAGAAGCTGGCTGTGTGAGAGTACCCCCACCCTGGGAGGGGGTTGCAGCTCACCTGTATCTTGGCCTCGGGAAGGCAGGTCACCCGGGCCAGATGCTCACGAGTGCCAATGTCAGGGTAGGGCCGTGCTGCAAACACCCGCTCCAGCTCCAGCAGCTGCCCTCTGCTGAATGTGGTCCGCCTTCTCCGGTGCAGACCCAACCCACTGGCATGGCCTGTGGGCCGGGGTGGGGGTCAGGCCACACTCCCTTTAAGAGCTCCCGCCAACCTCAAAGCCCCCAACAACCCCTGAAGCATCTGTGCCCCTGCCCAAATTTCCCACATCACACCCTCCCTACATCCTTCCCCGACCGACATTTTCCCACCAAATCACCTGTTAGAGATGCATCCACAGGGTTGGCCACGGAGCCAACAGAGAGTGAGGAGCCAGAGGGCCATGCCAAGGCTGTGCCTACACTGCACTCCTCCATTTGGGGTTTTATCCAGCTCGGAGGGATGCTCCCACCTCCAGGAAGGGAGAGGTTTACCATCCAGCTTGAGAGAGGCAGAGAAGTCCAGGAGGAAAGATGGCTGACCAAGTGCAGTGTTGGGGCTTGGCAGGATATGGGTAGGGCAAAAATTTGAGGTCCCTTGCTCCTTCAGGGCTTCACAAAGGAAGCTGGTCTCAGCCCCCCTCCTTGAACTGCAAATTCAGGCAGTCTAGCCGAAATCTTGGTACTACATGAAGATTCTCCAGGACTCCTTATGAGAAGCCAAAGCGATACCTCCCTCCAGAGCTCCCAGGGCTCCACCTGCCCCTCCAGAGTACTCAGCCCTGATGCCAGCTGCCTGCAGGGAAGAGTGGGTGAGGTCCTGTCCCACAACTGGAGGCTGCTAAGGCTGGACAGGGTGTGGGGGATGACAGGGGACAGCAGATGAGCGGGAGCCACCCCGCCCTCAGAAGGGCTGGGGAGCAGCTGTTGCCACCGGATCTCCCTCAGCTCTGCTTTAGGGCTTTGCCTGCATCTAACCCTTCCTCCTGGGCCCTCAAAAGCATGGATGGCTTCCTAGACTCCAGGACCCTGAAACCAGAGGTGGTTCTACAGGTACAATTAAAGGGTTTTAAGATGTTTGTTTTTACAGTGTACTCGTCCTTGGAAATCTTCTGGGCCACTTTCTAAGAGAAGTACAGACATTTGCATTTCCTTTGAGTCCCTGCCCTCTCTATCTCTCCTAACCTCGGTGTCCTGCACCCTAGACCCAAGACAGAATCCTTAAAGAAGGCCTCGTCTAGGGGTGGGTTCAGGGGACCATGGTGACCTACTCCCTAGAGACCCAGGTGTCTGAGCTAACCATGTTTCAGGCATCGGATGGCCAGAAAACTTCTGGAACCCCATCTCTTCCACCCCTTCTCTCCTCCAAGACCCTAGAATTCAGCTTCAAGCGGTAAAGCAAGCTCAGGGTTGAGAGGGGACCCTTGGTAACTCCTGGCATTATCAGAGAAGTTCAAGCTCCTGCATAGACATTGGTGGCTTATTGGGGCCTGCTTGGCTCAGGAAGAGGGCTGGCACTCATGAGCCTTTCCCAGCCTACAGCTTTTATGGTTCACAAAGAGTGCCTGAGCCCAACATGGGCTGGACACAGAGAAGCTTTTCTCTGCCACGTCCTGCAATCCATCCTGACAGCCCAGCTTCCCCTCCTTTACCCAGGCAGATCCCTGCCTCCTGCCTGTCTACCCCAGTCAGGACAGTAGTCTTAAACTCAGAGCCAAGGGATCTTTATTGAGCTGGGAGGAGGAGGTAGGAGGATGGAGCAGCAGAGGGCCAGCTGTGGGGGCTCAGACTCCTACTACTGACCAGGGGCTTGGCAGCCCAACCAGTACTGGGCGATGTTACGTGGGTAGGGAGGGCTCACGGTGTCCACGCGCCGAGTGCGAAGGTTGACTCGGTAGTACTTGTCTGGAAGAGAGGTTGGGAGAGAGTGTGTTAGACTCAGCCTGACCCTACCCACTCCTGCCCTGAGAAAGAAGATCCAAGGTGTCTCCTGGAAGGATAAGTGAACATCACAGTTCAGCCAAGGACTCCTGGCCTGGCTTTCTGGGTCACTGCTCAAGGGCTGTGTTCTGCTCATGGGAACCAGAGAGAGCAGGGAGGACCGCTGCGAAACAGCCAAAGGGGCAGCAGGGGCTCCCACCTCCTGAGAAGAAGTAGACACTCTGGGTGGGCTCGCAATTGGAAGGCACAAGCAAGTCTTTGTTGGGATAGTCATAGTTGTAGTCTCCTAGGTCACTGTCCTCACTGGAGAACAAGGACAGCCAGGTGGAACGGGACTTCCGGCGGGGGTTCTGGCCGCGGCCACGGCGTGATCCGTATCGTTTACGGCTGCGGCTGCGGCTGCGACTGCGACTCTTAGTCTTAACAGTTTTGAGCAAGGAGGAGCGGGGAGCTGAGCCCGAGATGTAGATCCTGCCGGCCATGGCCGCATCCACTTGCTCGGGCACACCAGGCCAGTCCCGGCTGATAAACCCGGGCTCTCTGGCACCACCTGTGGCAGGGAAGGGGTTAATGGGAGCATTGAGAGCCTGGACCCTGCCCCCACCCGGGGAGGGCTTTTAGCGTTGCCCAAGGACACGCAACAAGCTAGTGGCACAGCTCTCTCCCCTGGCCTCCCTCCACCACATCCCTCCCCATTTGCCTCGGCCATAGTCCCTCCCCCTGCCGGCTGTGCCCTTGGCTGTGCTAGGCAAAGTCCAAGGTGTGGGGTCAGATGGAGGCAAGCCTTCCCCCAAAGGTGAAAACAGATGCAAAGTCTGGCCTGAGCAAACAGCTTTTGATCAATAGCTCTACAGTCACAGCCCCCTCTGGCCAGCCCAGTCCTCTCCCACCCCGGGGAATCCCAGCCCTCTTGAAGGGAAAACAAGACCTGCCTGCCCTCCATACCAGGAGATCTGCCCCAGAAGAGAAACTCAAAGATGTCCTCCCAGCTGTCCCGCTGCAGCAGGGCAAACTGTTCAAACACCGCTGACAGGGAGCTGCCTTCACACTCCTCCCGACTGGGCTGCTGCTGGAACTCGTACTCCCAGTACTGTTTCCCTGGGGAGGCAGTGCGCATGCGTAAGGCTGGAAGGCCCGGAGGCTGTTGAAGTTAGGGGCTCCTGGCAGGTGGCAGGCAGGTGGCAGGGGTGGGGGCATCCCCTAAACCTGTCCCCAGTGGAGTATGAGAAGAAAAGTGAGACTGCTCCATGGCCTTCGCACTCTCCCCTCCACCCCCTGAGTACCCTTGAAGAAGTAGACCCGCTCTCGTCCACTGTAGCTGTGAGCCGGGAGGGCCAAGGCTGCGTCCACATTGTCCGGAATGCCCTCGAAGCCTTTGGAGATGTTGCGGGGGTAACCGGGCTCCAGGACACCATCCTCAAAGCGCCAGTACTGACTACCCTAAGGGGTAGGGAAAGAGGAAGGAGTCGAAGAGGTTGCACAGAGGCAGAGTCCCCCATCCGAGGCAGCAGTCTCAGTTCTAGGCTGGTCACCCAGGACCTGGAACCTCGGGCCTCCCCTTCCTCACAGAGCCCCAGCCAGGGACCACAGGTTGGTGTTCAGATTTCTTGCCAACTCTGGTCCTGGGCACAAAAGCCATAACTACTGCCTGGATACCCTTGACCCTGACCCACAGCCCCTGGGCCTGGCACCTTAAAGAGATAGGTCTTCCCCTGACAGTTGATGCGGGTGAAGGCAGCATCAATGGGGCCCTCTATACCCCAGACGTCTCGGATGAGCTTGGGATACCCAGGCTTCACTGCCTCTTCATCCAGCTCATAGCAGTACCGCCCTGGAGTGGAGGAGGCTGTGTGAGGGAGGGGATGTTCCTGGGTAGACCCCCACCCTCAAGAACTGCCCCTGGAGTCACCTCGGAAGGCAAAGAGGGAGCCATTCTTGAGGTCAGTGAAGGCATCAAAGGGTTTCCCACTGCACAGCTCCTCTGCTGAGGACTCTAAGATCCCTTGATCTGTGGTCTCGGGCTCCTGGGCCTCCTGTCCTGGTCCTGGGACCTCTTCCTCAGGGTTCCGAACAGGTGCCTCCTCGGGAGTCATTTCAAATTCAGCTTGCAGGTCAGAGCCGAGGTTGACCCGCTCTGCCTGCATATGGACACTGGCATTGTCTGCGGTCCCCTCGGCATAGGTGTAGATACTGTAGTCATCTTCTGGCAGAATGAACACGTCCCCGCGAGTCACTGCAAGCAGGGTGGGGGGTGGTGAGTCTCCAGCTGCAGAGAGCACCCCAGACTCACCCAGCCATTCCGGACGCACCTTGAGGCTTGCACTCAGCCATGTAGTCAGCACAGCAGCTCTGGTAGTAAGAGCAGAGCTCGTCACACTGACACTTCCTGTTGGCATTGAAGCCCTCGGTGCAGCGGTCCTTGCATGACTCTGTGAGGAGGGAGTGTCAGTTGGCACAGCCAAACCCAGACCACCCTTGCCCAGTCCACCCTTGCCCACCCTATTGGCCCAACTGGCCATCAACACCCTCCTGCACCTTGGTCAGCCACAGCAACCCACGCCAGCAGTGCCAGCATCAGAAGGGGTCTTGGGGATGCCATGGCAGGGCTTCTAGCCGTGAGCCTGGCGTACTGGGCTCTGTGCTCTGTGCTCTGTGCTCTGCTGCCTGAGAAAGGACGGAGAGGGAGGAAGGGAACCAGAGAAGAGGAGCTGCTTTTTCTGCTGCTCTGTTTGTTCAACCTCTGGCCCAGCCCCTCGTACCCTGACGCCCAGAGGTTGCTGTAGCACAGGGTCACATTCCTGAAACTCTGGGCCTGGGAGAGCAGGATCCCTGCCAACCTCCAGGTCACCTCAGAAGAGGAATAGCCCAGTGGGCCTGGAAGGCAGAAAGGAAGTCCACTCTGCCACTTACTGGTTGTGTGACCTTAGGCTAACCACCTTAGTGGTTTTTTTTCTTTTTCTTTCTTTTTTTTTTTTTGTTTTTTAAATGAGACTAATAACACTTGCCTCTTGGGGCGATAGGGGATTACATGAGTTGAGCAGAAAAAAAGATCCGGTGCTTGGATTAGCCCCAACTTCATTCTCCATGAATCTTATCGATCCATGGTCTGTTTGATCAGGCGCCCTTTGTGTATTTAGGACAGTGAAGGGGGGAGGCTAGGAGGGATGCTGGTAAGCACTCTGGGGAAATCTTCTTATCGTGAAAGAACAAAGTTTCATTTCTAGCTTCATCTCTTGGGTGGATTGATTTCCCCAAGCTGGACTTTACTACAACATAGTAAGTTGGCTGAATATTAATCCTTCGGACTGGATTTGATTTCTGAGTGTTCCATTCACTGCTCCTGAGCAGGCCATTCCCTGTTCCCACCCTCGGTCTCCCCATAGGTAAAGAGTGGTCTAGTTCCCCACTCTTCTAGACCCTGGTGGGAAGTAGGCTCCCTCTAGCCAGAAAATGCCCTAGCACAGAACGCCTGATATTATGCCTACTTTCAGGGGTCCACAGAACTCCTGAAGTCTTCCCACTACCTGGAGGAAGTGACCTCAAAGTTCCCAGCTGATTTTTTCTGTTCTGCAATCGGAGGGGAGTGTGACTTTGGCAATCTCTTTTCCATGGGCCTGAGTCGGTTGGTTGGTTAAATAGGAACATTGATTCCTACCTCATAGGCAGGTTGTAAGGCTTAACTGAGAAACAGGCATAAAGGGCTTCAAGAGCTGTACAGAATCGTTATTGGGACCCTTTAACTCCCAGCAGGGGAGGGAGCACACTCATCGGTGCGGCTTGCCCTCCCATACCAGCGTCACGTTTGAAACCGAGGCAGTCTTCTTGCTCTCCAACCCCTAGGGCTGCCCTGCATCCAGAAGGTCCCGGGGATGACACTAGGGGAGAGGCCTGACTCAGGCGTGGGCGTGTCCGGGGGAAAAAGGCTTAGGGTGGTTACGCAGGAGCAGAGGCGGAGCCCCGCGGGACCCAAAGGCGGGGCGTCGGCTCCGGTCAGTCGCTTCTCAGGGGCGGGGTTGCTGCGGAGCACCCACGCGGTCCGTGCCTGAGCTGGAACCTTGCTTTGTTCTGGCTGCTGCCTGCTACATCCTCCGGCTTCTGGGTCCGTAATCTCGCCTCCCAGCTCCCTCCTCCCGCCCATCCCCCTGTGTCTGGGCCTGCATCCCCTCTCCTAACCGCTTCATCCCAGATCCTGCCCTCACCCCTCCCCAAACTCCTGGCCAGCGCCCTTTCCTGGTACCCTTCTCTCCATCCCTCTCCCCTGCATCCCCCCCCCCCCCCGTCCCTCTTTCCCAGGGTCCGGCTCGCTTAGTTCGGCCCCGCCCCTCCAGACTAGGGATGTCCCCAGCAGCTCCGCTCCGATGGTCCTGACGCTGCTCCTTTCTGCCTACAAGCTTTGCCGCTTCTTCGCCATGTCAGGCCCACGGCCTGGTGCCGACCGGCTAGCGGTGCCGGGGCCGGACGGAGGTGGCGGCGCGGGTCCCTGGTGGGCCGCGGGCGGCCGCGGGCCCCGCGAGGTGTCTCCCGGGGTTGGCACCGAGGTGCAGGGCGCCCTGGAGCGCGCGCTACCCGAGCTGCAGCAGGCACTGTCAGCGCTAAAGCAGGCGGGTGGTGCGCGGGCCGTGGGCGCCGGACTGGCGGAGGTCTTCCAGCTGGTGGAGGAGGCCTGGCTGCTGCCAGCCGTAGGCCGCGAGGTAGCCCAGGGTCTGTGCGACGCTATCCGCCTGGACGGCGGCCTTGACCTGCTGTTGCGGCTGCTGCAGGCGACGGAACTGGAGACGCGAGTGCAGGCCGCGCGCCTGCTGGAGCAGATCCTGGTGGCTGAGAATCGGTAAGGCTTCCGGGCAGCGGGGAGAGCGCTGGGTGGTGTGGGGCAGCAAGGGGCGGTCGGGTGCCTGCGTCTCCCATGTGCCTTGCCCTGTGCCGTCCCTGCCTCACGTCACCACATCCCTGCACTACATCCCTGGTGGGGACCAGTGTGTCTGTTTTACAAAGTTCAGTGACTTGCCCAGCTTCACACAGTGAACTAAAGGTGTAGCCAAGACTCACTCCCAGGGCTGGTGAGATGAGCAATGAGACAGGGAGAGGAGGAATGGCCTAGTAGGACAGGAGTTTGTCTCTGCTTCTGAGATTGGAGATGGAATCCTATTGCCAATGCCCCCCCCAAGCCCACAGCCTTCCTCCCCACAGGCCTGAGTGCCTTTTTATGCAACCTTCTCCCTCCTATATCATGTCCCTCCCACTGAGAGAGGGAGAGAACACAATGCTCAGGAAATGGGGGGGGGGGGTGAGTCCTGTCCTCTCTCCCCAGGCCGAAAGGAGTGCCAATCTAAGGGTTACTTGCCCCCTTCATGCCACCCCAACTCCACCTGCCGCTTCCTCCTTCTTCATTTTGGTCCATGTAACAAGCCAGACATGATCTCATTCTGCAGCTGCTGATAGGAATCAGAAGGTCTTTTGCTGGGATGCATGGGTGCGGGAAGAAGAAAGTGAGGTGGGGAGCTAGGCTGGTGCCAGACACAGAATGTGTTCCTCACCCCTTTCCCACACTGAGCCATGATACAGCAGTCGGGGCAGGTGGAGAACTGGCTGCCGCTCTCTTGCCTGGCTCTTGGGATTTCCCCTAAAACGTGATGCCCCCCTCCCCCAGCACTCACTCTGTCTCTTCTCTGATGCCAGAGAGGATCAGGCTGTCACACTCTGGTCTCATGCTGACTCCTCGGGCCCCTCAGGTTTAGAAGGGTTTGGGAAGGGTCACATTCAGGTCCTGCAGCTTTCACGAGTATGAGGGTCATAGGTTAGTGGGGCTTCCCAAGCCACTTTGAAAAGTAACAACAACTTTGTGGGTGGTGGCAATGATACAACTTTCAAAAATGCTCAAACAAAACAATTTAAATTGGGAGACCGGGTTAGGGTTCTGCTTGTTCAGCAAATCATTAATCTCTCAACTAACATCAGGCGCCTTGATGGGGATGGACTGTAAATTTAAAGAGCTAGCAAACGGAGTGGGAGCTCACCGAATGTGTGGGCCCTTGTCTGTGGGCGTGCCCTGTAGGCCTGGTATGTGGGCCAGGACAGCAGGAACTAGAACTCCTGGGGAGCAGGAGCAGCCAGCACCCTAGGAAGAGGGGGGCTACAAGAGGCAAATAGCGCTGGTATTTTTCAAGGCTGAAAATAACAGTTCTCACGTGGTTCTGAATTACTGAGAGAAGCGTCACACTAATCAGTGTTCCTAGTCCCAAGAAACCACATACTGGTTCAGGCATCACTTCAGGACCAAGGACAGAGCCCAGCGCGACTGGTGAGGATCAAAATCCTTCCAAAGAAAGACAGAAACTCCTCTCCCTTCTAGACTGTGCAGCGGGGAGTCTGGGAGGGAAAAAAGAGGGGGTGACACTCAGATGGTTTGTGTTTATCACATCTTTTTCTTCCTCTACCAACCAACCTCCTGTACATAAGGTACTTCCTTCCATCAATGCACACACTCCTTTTGCCGTTCCCTCTCCTGCCGCTCTCTTCTTCCCAGGGTGTTGCCACGCCCACCGCCCAGGAGCCCCCGAATATCGAATATCGGAGAAGTCCATCAGGATAAGGCCCTCTGAGCTGGGTCCCACAGCACTCAGTGAAGGCCCCATCCATCTGACTGCTGGCCCTCTGAATTCACAGCCCAGCCCACGGGGGTGGGGGGTGGGGGGATGCTGAGGTTAAATGGTTTAACTCAGAGATTAAATGTGTTGTAGAGTTTTTTGTTTTGTTTTTTTAAGAATACACAGTAAATAAGTAGAAGAGACAGTTTTTTTTAACTCAGAAAACTGTTGTTCATAAAATTTAAAAGTGCAAAGGACCAAAAAAGATACGCATTTACAGTTCTTCCCACCCAGACCCCCTCCCTGGAGACAAACCAGTGGAACAAGTTTCTCATACAACCTTCCAGGGACGTTCTATGCATATACAAGCATTTGCATGTAAATACACACACACACGCTTGAATGTGTGTTTGTGTACAGCTTCTCCTCCCTTTAGAGCTGGCATTTGAACCCAGACCCACAGCCTCTCAGGCTGCAGGAGAATTGGGAGCTGGAGGAATAGTTCTCACAACAAGCACACAGTTCAAGTTCTGTGACGGTGCCAAGTGCACAGGGACAAGTGAGGGCCGGGAGGGTCGAGGGACTTGGGATAAAGCCCTCTCTCTCTAAACTGATGTTCCTGAGTAAGCCCTTTCCTCCGCAAAGTTCAGTGACTTGCCCAGCTTCACACAGTGAATTAAAGGTGTAGCCAAGACTCACTCCCAGGGCTGGTGAGATGAGCAATGAGACAGGGAAAGGAGGAATGGCCTAGTAGGACAGGAGTTCGTCTCTGCTTCTGAGATTGGAGATGGAATCCTATTGCCAATGCCCCCCCCTAAGCCCACAGCCTTCCTCCCCACAGGCCTGAGTGCCTTTTTATGCAACCTTCTCCCTCCTATATCATGTCCCTCCCACTGAGAGAGGGAGAGAACACAATGCTCAGGAAATGGGGGGGGTGAGTCCTGTCCTCTCTCCCCAGGCTGAAAGGAGTGCCAATCTAAGGGTTACTTGCCCCCTTCATGCCACCCCAACTCCACCTGCCGCTTCCTCCTTCTTCATTTTGGTCCATGTAACAAGCCAGACATGATCTCATTCTGCAGCTGCTGATAGGGACCAGAAGGTCTTTTGCTGGGATGCATGGGTGCGGGAAGAAGAAAGTGAGGTGGGGAGCTAGGCTGGTGCAGACACAGAATGTGTTCCTCACGCCTTTCCCACACTGAGCTGTGATACAGTGGCGTTAGATGACTGCTTGAGCACATCCTGGTTCTGATATTCTCAAAGTGCATGGAATCGTATTGTTCTGGAAGCACAAAATACAAAGGATTTTTTAAAAGATTTTATTTATTTATTTTTAGACAGAGCTGAAGGGAGGGAGAAATAGAGGGAGAGAAACAGCAATGTGTGGTTGCCTCTGCATGTCCCCATTGGGCACTTGGCCCACAACCCAGGCCTGTGCCCTGACTGGGAATTGAACAGGAGACCCAATGGTGTGGCTCAATCCACTGAGCCCACACCAGCCAGGGCAGGATCTTGAGCTCTGAAGACAGACAGACGTGAGTTCAAAGTCCCAGCTGTGCTTCTCAGCAGCTGTGTAACCCTGGGTTTGTCATGTCACCTGTCCATGATTTGGCTTTCTCATTGGAAAGAGGAGCAACTGTGGTGCCAGCTGCCCAGGTGGATGATTAGGACGCACCTGTTCCTTTGGACTGCAGAGAAGCTCCGTGATCAGCTCAGCAAAGTGTTGCTGGCCTTATGCCATGGTCTGAGCTCAACTGGGCTCTGCAGTGGACACAAAGTCACGGGCAATGTGGTCGTTGTGGCACTCACTGGGCAATGACTCCGTGGCTGGCTGGGTCTCTAAGCCTTCGGTCACCTGGGGAGGCCATCATTTGTGAGGTCAGGAAGACAGCGAACTTCCGCCTTTGCTGGAGTGTGGCATCTCTCCTGTGTGGTCTGCTGTCCTAAAGGTTTTCTCCCTTGGACCTGTCCTCCCCACAGCAGCCAGAGCGAGTTTCCTAAAACCCATGTGCGACCACATCACTCCCCTTCCTGAAGCCTTCCAATGACTCCTTATTGCCATCCAGATAAATGCCTTGAGATGTCTCAAGCGGCCTCCAGGACTCCTTTCTCACTCTCCCCTTGAATCCTTACCTTAGCTACTTAAAGCAAGTGGTTTCACTTCGGGTCACTGGAACAGGTCCCCAACTACATCAGCCCTCAGATAGCTCCAAGCCTCTTCACACACCTAATGTCTAAAACCTCCCCTTTTCTTGACTGATGTCCCCACCATCTTTCTGACTTAACCCCATAGGCGACCATTCAATATATTTAACGTGCATCTTTCTCTCTGTGTTCTGCTACAATCTTTGTTCTTGTTTTGTGCATTTGCTCTTAATTTACACAGATTGTGCTGTGTTATATAGCTCATTGTGTTTCTCACTTTCCCCCTCTCAGTGCTGTGTTAGGATCTTTGACGTTGCTGTTATCGTCTGCTTGGTTACTGTAGCTGCTCCCTCGTCCTCCAGACTGGGTGCCTCTCCGCTCTCCCAGGCATTTCTCCCACCACAAATAACACTGCAGAGAATGGCCTTGTCCTTTTGTGGATCTGGTTAGAATCGCTTTGGGATAAAAACCCAAGATCCCCAATTTCTGGCTTACAGGGCATGTGTCACCTTCATCTCATCCACACATCCCAGCCTGCTCTCCAAATTGATTGCCCCAGCCTGCACCTCCTACACGGGCCTTCAGGGCATTCATGGCCCGGCACCTCCCCAGGCATTAGTGTTACCCAGCTCCTGAGGTTTGCTTGCCTAATAGTGTAAAGTCATTGCTGTTTTAATTCTCAGCCCCTGATTACTAAAGACTTAGAGCATCACTTTGTTAACATCTTGGATTTCCTTTTTTGTAAATTGCTTGTTTATATCCTTTACCCATTTCCTCTTGGATCTACTACCTTTTTCTTGTGGATTGGAAAATTTATTTATATATTCTATATATGAATCCTTTGTTGGTTTTATCTTTTTCCTTGTTGGTTTTAGACATTGCAAATATCTCTGGCCTTCTTTCTGTTCCTCAAACACTCCGAGCCCATCAGCCCTCAGGGCTTTTGTCCTGGCTGTTCTCTCTGCCTGTTATATTCTCCCAGATCCTTGCAGGCTGCACTCTCTGGACATTTAACCCTCAGAGGTATCCCTGCACCCGTCTTTCTCCATTACATTGCCTGGTTATGCTATCATTATGACCATGTCACTATTATCCTGTTAATTCGTTGTTTGCTTGCTTATCATTTGTCTCCATATTAGCTCAGTCACTCTTAGAGCCACTGTTTGACTTCAGGCCCAGCACAGCGCCTGGCACACAGTGATTCTCTATAAATGTCTGTTGAATGAATGAATGAATGCATACACCCAGTCGTGCAGCGTGGAGTGAAGGGCAGTTGAAGGCAAGGCTCCGAGTGGTGTGCTTCAAGTGACGCTTCAAATGATGATAACGTCACCATTTATTCATTCTTTCCTATGTGCCAGGCACTGTGTCAAGCACTTTAAATGGATCATCACATTCGTTCTCATAACAATCCTACAGGGGAGGTATTTTTAAATCCTATTTGAGATGAGTAAATTAAGGTAAAAAGATAAACCAAAGTCCTGCAGCTAGAAAACAGCAAATAATTTAAAACTAGAACCCAGGGGATCTGCTCTAGAGCTAGATTTCTTTCCTTTTTTTCGTTTAAGATTTTATTTATATATTTTTAGAGAGAGGGGAAAGGAGAGAGAAAGACACAGCGAAACACCAATGTGTGGTTGCCTTTCACATGCTCCATACTGGGGACCTGGCTCACAACCCAGGCATGTGTCCTGACTAGGAATCAAACCAGCGACACTTTGGTTCACAGGCCCGCGCTCAACCCCCTGAGCCACACCAGCCAAGGCCAGAGCTGGATTTCTTAACCAGGACAGTGCAGCTTCTCCAGGGGAGGGTGGGTAAAGGGAAGGAAATGGGTGTGGCCAGGAGGAAGCACCCTTATAATCCAAGATGTCTGGTCCTGCCAGGCAAGTGGGAGGCAGGGAGCATAATGCTCTCCTTCATGTCCTTTATGACCCTAGTGAGGCCCACAGAGTTTAAGGGACCGGGGTTCAAGCCAAGCATCGCAGGCCCGGCCACTCCACGGTTTCCCCTCCACTTTCTCTCCACAGGGACCGGGTGGCGCGCATCGGGCTGGGCGTCATCCTGAATCTGGCAAAGGAGCGTGAGCCGGTGGAGCTGGCACGGAGCGTGGCAGGCATCCTGGAGCACATGTTCAAGCACTCGGAGGAGACGTGCCAGCGACTGGTGGCGGCCGGCGGCCTGGACGCGGTGCTGTACTGGTGCCGCCGCACCGACCCGGCACTGCTCCGCCACTGTGCGCTGGCGCTGGCCAACTGTGCGATGCACGGGGGCCAGGCGGCCCAGCGGCGCATGGTGGAGAAGCGCGCCGCTGAGTGGCTCTTTCCGCTCGCCTTCTCCAAAGAGGACGAGCTGCTGCGGCTGCACGCCTGCCTCGCCGTGGCGGTGCTGGCCACCAACAAGGAGGTGGAGCGGGAGGTGGAGCGCTCCGGCACGCTGGCGCTCGTGGAGCCACTCGTGGCCTCGCTGGATCCCGGCCGCTTCGCTCGCTGCCTGGTGGACGCCAGCGACACAAGCCAGGGCCGCGGGCCCGATGACCTGCAGCGCCTGGTGCCGCTGCTCGATTCCTCGCGCTTGGAGGCGCAGTGCATCGGGGCTTTCTACCTGTGCGCTGAAGCTGCCATCAAGAGTCTGCAGGGCAAGACCAAGGTGGGGGAGGGGGTGGTGGGGGCGGGGGTTAGACAGCATCTGGGAAGGCTTCCCAATTCATCTTGGACTTGAAGTACACATTAGAGTTAGAAGCAAGGAGAAGGATGAGGGGCAAGACGAAGATTTTAAAGCAGGGAACACGTGGGTTTTATAAAGATTACTCTGGTGCTGCGTGGAGAGGGATTGGCAAAGGTGAGGTTGGAGGCAAAGGGGCCAGACAGGAGGCCATGGCAGGGGTGCAATTGGGATGGTGGAGGCTGGGACTAGGACAGAGAGGCTGAGAGAAGTAGGCAGATTCCAGTGGTGCTGAGGAGCTAGTACTGGACTTGGTGGGTGGCTGGCTGGGTGAAGGGGAGGGAGGAGCGGAGGATGCCTCCTGACTTTGGACGTAGGCAATCCAGTGGATGGTAGCGACAGGTACTGAAATACGGTGAACTGGGTGAGAGACAGTTTGGAGTGACGGAGGAGAAGAAAGTGACTTCACTGGAGGACTGAATTTGAGGTGCATGAGAGATGACCGAGAGCGGAGCTTCAGTGGGCCATTTTGTCATTTGGGTCTGGAGTCCAGGAAGGAGGGGGAGTGTGGAGACAGAGGCTTGGAGCAGCGCGTCAGTGTGTCAGCCAGACAGCTCCCTCCTGAGTCCCCAGAGGTCCCCATGCCGAGGGCCTGATCTGAAGCCTTCGCCCTCTGCTTTAACTTGCTGTGTGAACTTGGGCATCTGGCTTCCCCTCTCCAGGCCTCTTTATGTCCCACTTTCAGCCTCTGGAAAATGGAAGGAGCAGACCACAGCAGCCGTTCTTATGCTGGATGTGGCGCTAGTAAGAGTTACATTATCAAAAGTTTGCATTTTTATTTTTAAAAATATTACAGGATCGAGATTATCCCTATAATGTCACCCTCCCCACTTTGCATTGCTCTGGGAATTTGGGGGGTCGGTGACAGCGGGGGCACAGGGAGTGGCGCACGCCCACGAACCATCCCGCCTCTACCACAGCGGTCATCTAGGGCTGCTCAGGCCAGTGTGTCCTGCGGATGACCGCCACACTTAGTGCATGTCCCCGCAGATTAAGGAGACACTTGGTGTTAGGGGGTCTCTGAAGCCTCTTCCAAGATCCAGTGTTCTAGAGTTTCTGGCTCTCCTCTCTGTGCCCCAGCGTTGGACCAGCATTGGGCTTTACCAAGCAAGTCATTCTGCTTGGGGAGAAGAGCCTTGAAGGTGACTTGGGAGCAGGGAACTATAGGGTCTGGGCAGCAGCCATGACCACCAGCTCTGGCACCCTTTCCCAGCAGGGCCAGCGAGTACAGTTCAGTAAAGGCATGGTACGCCCCCACTCTGGGGCCTGCAGCCTGCCAGGTATGGGACTCCAGGGGTGACGAAGACACGACCTCAGCTTATCAGCCAGTGGAAATTGCATTGTGAACTAACAACAGTGGCATTCAGAGGGCGGTACAAGGTCTAATGGGAGGTGTGGGCCAAGCTGTTGGGGGAATTAAAGCAGGCTACATGAAGGAGATGCTAATGAATTTGGATTCCAATGGATGAATAGGATTCTCAAAAATAGGCTGGAAGGACTAAGGATCCAGGAACACCATGGGTCAAGGCTCAGAGGTGGGAGAGCCTTCATGGGTGGGTGTCAGACAAGTGGGGGCTGGTGAAAGGGGAGGTGAGCTGGGGGTGATAGAAGGGGTGCACTGTGCCAGCCACTGAGAGCTCAGACTTTATCCCAGGATGGATGGAGACTGTCTAGAGGAGACATGAAAAGGACCTGCCTGCTCGAGAGCTTTGAGAGAGCTTCGGGAAGAGCAATCCAGAGGCCTCGGTGATTTATCAGGTGGAGGCAGGGCTAGGGCAGATGGCCCGACTTCAGCAGTAAGAAGAGGCTGGTCACAGGGCATATTAGGGGGCAGCCAGCTGAAAAGCTGATGGGTACAAGACACCCTCTCCTCGCTAGGTATTCAGCGACATCGGTGCCATCCAGAGCCTGAAACGCCTGGTCTCCTACTCCACCAATGGCACCACGTCAGCGCTGGCCAAGCGCGCGCTGCGCCTGCTGGGCGAAGAGGTGCCGCGGCCCATCCTGCCCTGCGTGCCCAGCTGGAAGGAGGCCGAGGTCCAGACGTGGCTGCAGCAGATCGGCTTCTCCCAGTACTGCGAACCTTTCCGGGTACAGCCACGCAGGGCTGCCAGCCCGGAGTCAGAGCCGGCGCATCCCTGAGGACCCTAAGGGCCCCGTGCACAAAGGCAACCTTGCCCTCTCCTGTCCCGCACGCCCGAAATGCCAGGGTGGCCTTTTGGCATGCGGAGCCTGTACTCAGCAATTTTCAGGATCTCTTGGCTCCAGTGTGGGTCTCATCTACTTCCCTACTGGTGTCACCAGGTCCCTCCCCTTGCATCTTGGGCTTGGGGTCCAGAGCTAAGGAGGGGACCCTTTCCTTCCTCCTTTCTTACCTTTGACCCCACCCCCAGGAGCAGCAGATAGATGGCGACCTGCTTCTGCGGCTCACGGAGGAGGAACTCCAGACTGACCTGGGCATGAAATCGGGCATCACCCGCAAGAGGTACGGGGACTCCCACCCGCCCGCCCGCCACGCCCGGTCTAAACATCCCCTAGGCCACCACTAGCCAGTTTGAGTCAAGACTTCAGTGTCCTTTACGCCCTGGCTTGCAGATTCTTTAGGGAGCTCACGGAGCTCAAGACCTTCGCCAACTACGCTACCTGCGACCGCAGCAACCTGGCTGACTGGCTGGGCAGCCTGGACCCACGCTTCCGCCAGTACACGTATGGCCTGGTCAGCTGCGGCCTGGACCGCTCTCTGCTGCACCGCGTGTCAGAGCAGCAGCTCCTGGAGGACTGCGGCATCCGCCTGGGCGTGCACCGCACGCGCATCCTCACGGCCGCTAGAGGTCAGCCTGCCCCATCTCCATCCCGGAGGGGCGGGGCGAGACAGAGGGTGGGTCCTCAAAGCCAGACACCGTGCCAGCCTGCGTTCTGAGGGTGCGAAAATGAATGTGTTGCACTTTGCCCTCAAGAAGTTCCCAGTCTGAGGTGGGTGGGTAGAAAGGAGGGAGGAAGGCAGGCATGTAAACAGGGAGGTGATCAAAGTAGGAGGCCTGCCCGGGACTCTCGTGGGAGCTTAGAGGAAGCACTGCCTACTCTGCTCCCCCCAGATCTAGGCATTTAGAGGATGGGGGACGGGGGAGGAGGTGGGGGGCAGGGCAGCGGCAGGAAGAGCAGGCAGGCCGAAAGAATAGCCTATGCAAGTATGAATGAGACCGAGCATGGAGAGTTCATACACAGGACATGGGTAGGGAGACACATGGCTTACTCCATTAACCAATGGCGTCCACAGAGTGGGTTCTAGAGGTACTTTAGGGAAATCATGAGGCAGAGTGGACCCTAAGGCTCTAGCAACCCTCTTTACTAGTTTAATTTACTAATATACTTTTTAGCTAACATTTATTGTCAATTACTCTATGTCGGATCCTGTATTAAGTTCTGAAGAGGTATTAGCTCATTAATCTCTACATCCATTTGATACTGTGGGTGTTAATTTTGTAATCAACTTTTTAAAACGTTTTAAAGAATGAAAGAAGCCCTGGCTGGCATAGCTCAGTGGATTGAGTGCGGGCCTGTAAACCACACGATTGCGGTTCAATTCCCAGTCAGGGCACATGCCTGGGTTGCAGGCCAGGTCCCATCAGGGGACTCACGAGAGGCAACCACACATTGATATTTCTCTCCCTCTCTCCTTCCCTTCCTCTCTAAAGATAAATAAATAAAATCTTTTTTAAAAAAGAAGAATGAAAGAGGTACAATTTAACTTCACAGTGTCCACTGCAAAGGGTTTGGGGAAACACTTGCTCCTCAGTCACTGTTACCGTAATCAAAGATAAAGGATATTCCCATCAAAGGTGTTCATTTTAAAGATGACAAAGCTAAGATTTACAGAATTTAAATACATTCTCCAACCTTTTAAAGTCATTAAATATCAGAGTTAGGATTCAAAACCCTCCCTCCTGTCTTTATAAAGAGACGAGTGTTGTCTCTGAATGTCCAGTCTGAGTGTCACGGGGAGGCGGGCTCTTTTCACTCACACATTCACTCCGCCATTGCTCACTGAGCTCCTACCAGGGACTGGGGCCTGGTCGTCAGCACCGTGCTGTTGCTTCAACCAAAGCAGGTCAGCTTCCGCCATTTCTACACTGCAACTCCCAGGAAAATCTTTTTTTTTTATTGGGCAAAAAATAATCTTTTTAATAAGTCATATTGGGAAAACTGGATATCCACATAGGAAAAAATGAAGTTGCATCTCCATCTTACATTATATACAGATTTTTTTAAACTTTTTTATTGATTATGCCCTTACATTTGTTCTATTCCCCCTTTTATTCCCCTCCACCCTGCATACCCCTCCCCCACCATTTCCCCCTTTAGTTCATGAACACATGTCTCGAATTCTTTAGATTCTGTATTTCCCCTACTATTCTTACCCTCCCCCCTATCTATTTTCTATCTACTGTCTATGCTACTTATTTTCTGTACCTTCTCCCCCCTTCTCCTCCTCCCACTCCCCTGTTGCTAACCCTCCATGTGATCTTCATTTCTATGGTTCTGCTCCTGATCTAGCTGTCCTCTTAGTTTGCTTTTGTTTTAGGTGTGGTTCTTAATAACTGTGAGTTTGCTGTCCTTTCACTGTTCATTTTTTTTATCTTCTTTTTCTTAGGTAAGTCCCTTTAACATTTCATATAATAAGGGCTTGGTGATGATGAACTCCTTGAATTTGGTCTTATCTGAGAAGCACTTTATCTGTCCTTCCATTCTAAATGAAAACTTTGCTGGATAGAGCAATCTTGGTTGTAGGTCTTTGGTTTTCATGACGTGGAATACCTCTTTCCAGCCCCTTCTTGCCTGTAAGGTCTCTTTTGAGAAATCAACTGTCAGTCTGATGGGAACTCCTTTGTAGGTGACTGTCCACTTACTCTTGCTGCTTCTAGGATTCTCTCCTTCATTTTAATCTCGGCTAATGTAATGACGATGTGCCTTGGTGTGTTTCTCCTTGGGTCGAACTTCTTTGGGACTCTCTGAGCTTCCTGGATTTCCTGGAAGTCTATTTCCTTTGCCAGCACAGGGAAGTTCTCTCTTATTATTTGTTCAAATAAGGCTTCCACTTGTGACTGTTCCTCTTTCCCTTCTGGTACCCCTATAATTCGAATATTGGAACGTTTAAAGATGTCCTGGAGGTTCCTAAGCCTCTCTTCATTTTTTTGCATTCTTGTTTCTTCATTCTTTTCTGTTTGGTCATTTTTTTCTTCCTTCTGGTCCACTCCATTGATTTGAGTCCCAATCTCCTTTCCATTACTATTGGTTTCCTTTGTATTACCATTCATTTCAGTTAGTTTAGCTTCCATATGTTCCTCTAATTTGTGACTAAAATTAACCAGTTCTGTGAGGATCCTGATAACCAGTGTTTTGAACTGTGCATCTGAAAGATTGGCTATTTCTTCATCGCTTAGATTGATCGGCTCTGGGGCTCTGAGTTGTTCTTGAGCCATTTTTGGTCCGTTCGCGCCCTTAAGTAAGCGGAGCGAAGCCTTAGTTGTTTACTAGGACGGGGCCACCCAGGTCGCTGGTTTATGACGCTGTGTGTGGGGGCGGGGTCAGAGAGGGAGCAATGGTGGTCCTCTCCGTTAGCCCAGTCCCTCCAGTCACACCACTCGCCCCGGGCCTGTTTATCCGATAGGAATTGTGCGAGCCTGCTGCCCCGCACAGGCTCCCCTCCTCACTGGTTTATCCGCACGCAGATGCGCGACCGACCGCAGACAGCCCACCGCACCTCTTCCCTGTGTGCTCCCGTAGCTAGCCCGCGGTCTGCGCCTTCGGCTGCTCGTGCACCACCCGTTCAGGGATTTTTTTTGTCAACCTGCTCCACTGCTGGCTTCGCTCCTCTTACTGGTTTAGCTGAGCATTTCGTTATCTTTGGACTCCGTATTGTCAATTTTCTGTGTGGCTTGGTTGTGTTTTTTGTTGTTAAAAATAGTTGTTCTTAGATTTGGTTGTGCACGAAAGCAAGGTGGTTCCACCTACACCTCCATCTTGGCGGAAGTCTGCAGGAAAATCTTAAGATTTCATTTTTTTTTAAAAAAAGAGTTCTACCAAAAAACTAGTTCACAAATTCTTTCTACAGGGAGTAGGGAGTAGTGAGTGTTTTTTAAGTGGAGGTAATGACATACTTGGTCTCCCTTTGGTAGCTGTGCAAGCAGATTATATGGGACAAGTGTGGACTTAGGGAGACCACTGACCAGGCTGGAGTTGGGGGACCGGACATAGGGAAAACCCTGAGGCTGGAGTCTGGTTGTTTAGCAGGAAGAATCTGCAAAGCATGGTGCCCGGGCCTGCCCACTGTGAGGCAGGGTTTGTTTATGTTCACCGCTGTATCCCAAGGGCACACATCGAGTGCTTAGTAGATATTGTTGAATGGATGAATGGGTGAGTAGATGAATGGGTGAATGGATGAATAAGAGGCAGGGGTTGAGGCTAGCGCCCAGGTTTCTGACTTCAGTGGGAAACTAGGAAGAAGGGTCCATGGGAGGATTTAGGACGTGTAGGGTTCAGAGTGCTGGTAGGCAGCCGGCTGTGCCGGTCTGGAGCCAGAGAGAAGCCAGAGCTGGATGTGTCTTTCTCTCTCTCTTTCTTTTTCTTTTCCTTCCTTCCTTCCTTCCTTTTTTTTTAGGGCAGAGATACATTTCAATGTTCCTAAAACATAATGACTGTCTTCTGAGAGGAACTCACCAAGAGTCAGCAGCCTTTCTCCCTGTAGACCCCTGTCTCTCCACCTCAGCAACCCTTTTTGGAGCAAGGCATCCTGCCTGGGCTGACTGGCTGGGCTGGGCTGAGAAGGCAGGGTGGGCAAGGGACGATGTGCCTCAATGTGAGTGATGGGGAAGGGCCACCTCACCAAGCTGTCTCTTGTCCCCCTCAGAAATGCTACACTCCCCACTGCCCTGCACTGTCTGCAAGCCGAGTGGGGACATTCCGGACGTCTTCATCAGCTACCGCCGGAACTCAGGCTCCCAGCTGGCCAGGTGAGGAGGAGCCAGCGGGCAGGCAGCCTCGGGCCTTGGGGCGAGGCCAGGGCAGTGACATGGACCTCTTCACAGCCTCCTGAAGGTGCACCTGCAGCTGCACGGCTTCAGTGTCTTCATCGATGTGGAGAAACTAGAAGCAGGCAAGTTTGAGGACAAGCTCATCCAGAGTGTCATGGGCGCCCGCAACTTTGTGCTGGTGCTATCGGCCGGGGCGCTGGACAAGTGCATGCAGGACCATGACTGCAAGGACTGGGTGCACAAGGTGGGTCCTGGCCTCCGTGGGCCCAGTGTGGGCCTGAGGCCCAGGGGGTGGGGTTCTCCTCCTGTGCCTTCTCCTCTGTGCCCCAGCGACCTCCACGGCTCAGCAGGAAGTCAGGAGTCACAGCTTCGACTACAATAAGACTCCAGCCAGCCACTTAGGCTCTCTAAGCCCATTTCTCTCCTCTACAAAGTGGGGATAATTTTCCTGTCTTACTGGCCTTGCAGGATTGTTGTGAGGGTGACAGAGAGAGGAAAAGACTTTGAAAAATAACCTCCAAGCGGGAAGGGGGGCAGGGAGCATCGGGATGGGCACAGTGGAAGCAGGAAGAACCCACATCTACCAGTCCGAATCCTGCCTCTGGCCTTGAGCACATTACCTCATCCCAATGAGCTTCATGTTCATTACCGTGAAGTGGATAATTACAGTGCCTATTTCCCTAGGATATTGTTATAAGGATTAAAAGAGGTAAAACTTGTGAAGGGCTTAGCAGAATTCCCAGATCTATAGCAAGTGTTCTATAGTGGTAGCAATTACTATTATTAATATAATTATTATAAATGCTGTTTAACACACCATTGTACCCGCAATGCCTGACACCTGGGAGAAACTTATTGAATACTTGTAGGACAGATGGATGGACGGACCCACACCACACCTGCAGGTGATTAACTGCTAATCAATGAATAGCAATCGGGGCCAGGGCTGAGGGATGCAGTAGTCACCTGAGATGGGGCCCTTGCCCTAGAGCAGCTAAGGAGGCAAGGCTATTCCCAGAATGACTAGATGACAGATAAGCTGGTGTCACTGCTGAGCTGGCTAGGCGAACCTCTTACTTAGCACAGGAGTATGGAGAAGGGAGAAAACATCAAGGGCAGGTACAATCAGGGAAGGCTTCATGGAAGAGACAGGACTTGAGAAGAGTCTCAAGAATTTAGGCAAGTGGAAGAGAGGCATCCCTGGCAGGGGAACAGCATGAGCAAAGATCGTAGGAATGAGAAAGGTGCCAAAACTCCACCTGCCTCACTGGTACTACTTTCTCCACCTCACAGATGAAGAAACTGAGGCTCAGAGAAGTGGAATAATTTTTGCCACGGCCACACGGGTGTAGAGATCAGAAAAGCTGGGCCTTGAGCTCCGTCTCTCTGACTCCCAAGCTCATGCTCTTTCCCAGGACCCGTGTTCCATGCACAGATCTGAAGGGGTGGGTGTGTGGGAGGTGACTGAGCAGGGCTGGATTCACCTGAGATGATTGTCTGCATTTGTTCTCAACTCCACATTTAGGGATGTTGTGTTGGCAGCTTAAAGTCAGCCATGGAGAGAGTATTTACACTAAGGAAATCAGTAAACACTCCAAATCAGGGGTTGGTTGGTTTGGTTGGTGGGTTTTGTTGTTTTTCTCTCCCTGGATAGTGAGCTAAACACTTATCAGCACAACACTGGCCGGATAAGAACTTTGGGACCAGGTTGCGGAATGTCCACAGGCAGGGAAAAGACCTGTGCTTCCAGCACCGAGACACGGGGCCCCGTGGGGGCAGTGATGCCACACCAGGGGGCTTTAGGGAGAAGGCTCTGCACACGACAGTGCAGTCCCGCTTGTCAGTGGGAAAGAGGGTCTGGCTCCAGAGGTGGAGTTTTAGGGGCTGAGTACTGGGCGTGGTTTGGGGGGGGTGCTGGTCCTTCAGCCTGGAGGACCACATGTGAAGACCCAGAGTGGGCGGCAGGTGGCCTTCTGAGAGACAGAAGTGTCCGTGACAGCCCAGACCTTGCCTTATTCACATTGTATCCCTGATTCCTAAAATCATGCACGGTACAAAGTAAGCTCGTGAAGATTCTATAGAATAATTGAATCAGTGATAAAACAGATGAGTGATATCATTCATCAGAATGATAAAACATTCTGATGAAGCTGAGATGACTGGGAAAACCATTGATATCTACTGGATGTACCAGGTTGGGAGCCTTGACTCTAATCAAGTTATTCTCCACCAGCTGAGCAATCTTGAATAAGCCACTTTTCCCTTTTTTCGGCCAGCCTCTGAACCTGTGAGATGAGCAGCATGCTATCTTTGGTTCTGGGTAGTTCTGGATGAAGCGAGTGTCTAAAGGTTTCCAAATAAATTGCTGCAGGGTCAGAGTTCATCCAAATCTCAGCAGAGAGGCAGAGGGCTTGGTTGAGATAACCCAGGGCTTGGAATCTGAAGGCGTGAGTCAGATCCGGTCACCTCCTCAGCCAGAAGAGTGTGTGACTTGGGAGCAAGTACCTTCCCCTCTCTGGGCCTCCTTTTGCTCATCTGTAAAATGGAGAGGTTCCCCAGAAGTTGAGCAAGGTTGAAGTTGTGCGGTATTTTCCCCAGGAAGGCTGTGCTCAAGAGTCTTGCCCCCCCCCCCCCCCCCCCCCCGTTGTCCCAGCTGACTGCAGGGAGAGAGGAGGCAGGCGGGGAGGGCGGAGCCTTTGCCTTGGACCAGACCCAAGGGCTCCATCATCCTTCCTTGGTCATTTTTAGTGCTTAATTGCCTTTGGTTTTAAAACTTCTTTCCCCGAAGCCACATTTAGCGGGTAATCAATATGGAAAACCACAGTGAACTGCACTCAGGAAAGTCCAATCCCTGTGGTTCCCCTTTGAAAAAAAAAAAAAACATTCAGTAAGCACTTACCAGAGTACCCATTAATAGTAAACAATGTCCTCAGGACAATTAACCTTTGCCCTGAGGTTGGTTCATTAACCCCACTTTCCAGAGGAGGAAATACTAGCACTTACTAGGTATGGAGCACGCCCTACACGCTGGGTGCTGTTTGCACCGCTTGCTGTAGGATATCGCAGCTATTCCTCCCAGTGGTCCTACGAGACGTTGACACCATTCACCCTGTTTTGTACATGAGGAGACAGAGGCTCTGAGAGCCCGTTGTTTTTGCCTCAGATCACAAAGCCGGTGTCAGAGATTGGATGGGAACCCAGCTCTGACCGTCCCAGAGTGCACCGCTAACTGCTGTGCCGTGTTCTCATTCACTTGCTCATCCAGCCACCCATTAAGTAGTTAGCCAGGACTGACCGTGGGCATGGCTTCGTGAAGGACGCTGAAATGTAAGGTGAATGAAAACCAGACACAATCCCTGCCCTTTTGTCAGGTGGGGAAGGCAGATATTTAATAAATTACTCATTAATGAATGTAACTTTGCAACTGTAGCATGTGCTGCAGAGGCTATGAGAGCCTATAATAGGGAAGGCCTGGCCAGGGAAGAGAGAGAAGCCTTCCCTGAGAAAGGTTGACTGGGTGCAGATCGGAAAAATGAGGAGGTTATTAGCCAGGTGAAGGGGCAGGGAAGAGTGTTCCAGACAGAGGGAACAGCATGTGCAAAGGCCCTGTGCAGGGAGGGAGGGGGACAAAGCTAAGGGGCTGCAAGGTCTGTGAGGCCGGGGGGACAGTGCAGACGTGCAGTTTGAGAAGTGAACTGTGGCTAACTGCGCAGGACCCTCAGCCCACACTTAGGGGTTTGAACTTGATTCTAAGAGCCATGTAAAGTCTTGAAGAGTTTTAAGTAGTGAGTGACATAATCACATTTTCATTTTGCAGAGTAGCTGGGTGAAGGGGCAATGCGGAGAACAAATTAGAGGGGGCGAGCAGTGGGTGAGAACAGACCTGATGGAGGATACAGATCAGGGGGGACGGATGGTTGAAGCAGGAGAGCGGTGGGGTGGAGGTGGAGAAAAGCAGGTGGGTTTGAAAATAAGTCAGAGTGTAATTGGTAAGGCGACGGATCAGTTTGGATGCAGAGGGTGTGATGTTTGTTCTGCTCTGACACCAACTGTCTGGGCCATGCCAACAACCAGTTCTCCAATTCACCAGTCCCATGAGGTGTCCCACAGTTCAGTTCAGGTTTGACCCTAGCCCCGCAAGGCAGGTGTCAGGTAGAAGGGCCCTGCCCCCACACCTGCCCTCACTTCAGATACCAGTTGAAAGTCCCGGGTTCCTAGGCTACCCACACTTCTCTCTGACTCGGCTACAAATTCAGGGGTTCCCATGACCCTCCGCCCTGTCCAGGTTCAGTAATTTGCTAAAGTGATGTGCAGAACCCAAGAAAGCGCTACACACACACACACACACACACACACACACACGGTCCAGCAGAAGTAGCGCCTGCCAGATTGTGGTTGGTGGGGTAATAATGTAGGTGTAATAATTTATAGTTTTAATTTGAACATTTCATCTAAAATGTCATCTGGTGTGTGTGCCTGAGTGTGATACTGTTATGTATCACACTTACATGCTTATGAGTTTGTAATACAAGAGGGGCATTATTTGTGCCGGACCCGGTACATAAGGGACGCAAGGGCCAGGGGTGGGGGTGGGGCGCAGGCAGAGAGGCACGGGGCTTCCGTGCCATTTCCAGGCTGCTCCCCCAGCACCTAGATGTGTTCGCCAACCACCCCCCTTTTAGGACTCTCTATGGAGGTTTTGTTTTTGTGGGTGTGATTAAGTCATTGGCCACTGGTGATAGGACTCAAGTCTCCAGCCCTTCTTCCTTCCCTGGGTGTGAGCAAGTGTGGGGAGGGCCCTTGAAGTTCCAACCGTCTCATTGGTCTTTCCCTCAATCAGTCCCCATCCTGAAGGATCTAGGTAGCCCCCACCCCAGTCATCTAGAGATTATAAGGGTTTTAAGAGCTCTGTGCCAAGAACCTAGCACAAAGATGGAATATTTATTTTTTTGTTAAGCCCCAAAGGGTGCCAGAGAAGTCAAAGGTGGACTTTAGTTCAGTGTCCCACTGGGCTCAGCTTCGGGCCGCTGTTGGCTCTGTGTCTGCCTCGCCCTGGGGTCCGTGGCTGGGTGCCCTGGTCTCTTCCTCCTCCCTTCTTTCTCCAGGAGATCGTGACTGCTTTGAGCTGTGGCAAGAACATCGTGCCCATCATCGACGGCTTTGAGTGGCCGGAGCCCCAGGCCCTGCCTGAGGACATGCAGGCGGTGCTCACCTTCAATGGCATCAAGTGAGGAGGGGTGGATGGGTGGGCACGCCGGCCCCGCAGCCTGCAGCTCCCTCTGCCCGGCCCCCTGACCCACGGCCTCTGTGCCCCCAGGTGGTCCCACGAGTACCAGGAGGCCACCATTGAGAAGATCATCCGCTTCCTGCAGGGCCGCTCCTCCCGGGACTCATCTGCAGGCTCCGACACCAGTTTGGAGGGTGCTGCACCCATGGGCCCAGCTTAACCAGCCCCTAGTTCCCAAGTCCTGCTGTGACCCCCATTTCCATTCTCTTTCTAGAAGGAGCAGCCCCTCACTCTGGGCTCCCTGGGCCCAGACAGCCTGGGCCCTTCTCAGGAAGTGGCTGTCCCTCTCCCAGGCCCCCCAGGCCCTTGCCAACCACCGCAAACCCAGCTTCCCCAGTATCTGGAAAGGGAAGGGAAGCTGGGCTTTGGGGGTGCCACAAGGTTCTCTGTCTCGGGCGTGGGAGGGTCACTGGTCAGTTCTGGAGACACTGGAGAGCAAGGGTTCGCTGCACACTACTGCCCTCTGTCCTGCCCTGACGACAACCAGCTTCAGGAGGGACGCGGAAGGCAGCCTCTGACAAGAGGCAATGCCCAGCCCTCTCGGCCAAGCAAGGGTCTGGGCCTGGGACCAGTGGGGATGAGAGCCCAGTGGTGGCCCCCCACCCAGACTGTGCCTGGTCCCTTGGCTCACCACTTCCTGCCACCCAGGGGCCTTGCCTGCAATCACTCAGTGCACTTAGCCAGCCTGGCCTGGTCCCAAGTGCCCTCCCAGCCTTCCTGAGTACAGCCTCTTCTGCCACATGCAGGGTCAAGGCCAGGCTGAGCCGGCCCTTCCTCTGGCTGGTTTGCAGCTGCAGCTGGGTTTGCAGCCCTCCCTGGCACATGGGAGCTCCTGCCTGGGCCCCGCGCAGGAGGTGCCATGCCTCTAAGGGCTGCCAGCTGCCCTCCCCCGCCTTGGTGCTGTGCCTCAGGCTCCTGCCCCACCGGGCCCAGCTGACTTCCCCAGCCCCCACCAGCAGTAGCCTGGGCAGAACCGGCAGCTCCTTGAAAGAGGCAATGTCCTTAAGAAGGGTAGAGGTGCATTCAAATCATCTGGGAATTTTTGTTAAAATTCCATTCAGGAGACCTGGGGTGGAGCCTCAATTTCCACATTTCTCAGATCCCCAGGTGAGCCCATGCTGGTGGTCAAGAAAGGACACTTTAAGCAGCAAGGCTCTGAAACACAAATCCCTCACACACCTCCAGCATGGCCCCAGCCCCCCACTCCATGGTCTCTGTCATAATCATCAGAGCAACCCTGCCCGGTATCATCTCCATTTGACAGAGGAATCGAAGGATGTGCTGTTTTCTGTCTTGAGCGGCAGCCCAGGATCCAGCCCCCGCCTCCTGGTGCTCAGCCCACAGCTGGCGGGGCTGCTCTCCTGAGAGTCATCCTTGGAGGCCGTGACCGGGCTGGGCTGCTGCTCTGCAGACCGCTGGCTTCTTCCTCACCCCGATGAACCTAGAAATGCAGTTAGGTTCTTGACCAGGGGCCATGCAGAAATAAATGAGCAGGGCCATCCCTCTGCCCCCTTCCCCAGGAGGGTAGGAAGGCCCTGGGTAACCAGCCCTGCCTCTTCCCTCCTCAGAGCAGTGGGGTCACACCTCCAGGCTGGCTCAGCACCCAGAGGGCCTCCTGCTCTTGGGCCACAAAGTCGGAAGTCAATGATCTCACACCAGGCTCGGGACTTCTCGCTTCCTCTCCCTTCCCTGCCAAAGATGCTGTTCAGCTGGTCCGAGCTCCAACTCGCTTTCACTGCACTTCCTCCTTCATGCCACCAGAGTGCCCACCAGGGCCAGGCCCTGGATAGGAGGGTGACTGAGGCAGACTGCCTCTCACAGAGGAGACACAGTAACAACACAGTGTGACAAATATCCTCCGGGGAAGCTTTCTGTCTTTCTGTCCCCAGCCCACTCCCTCCTGAGGATCCTCCGAGGACAGTATTCAGCTTCCCAGCCCCGTTTTTTCTGTTTGGTGCACCTGCCACTGACACCCCTCCAGTCTCTCTGGGGAACCAGCGCTCAGCCTGTCCCCTCCGCCGCAGCTTCAGTGCTGACCCCCCCCCCCCCCCCCCCCCAGCTCGGGCCCCTTGGCGCTCACCTTCCACCCAGGTTCGGCCTCACAGGGCTGGTCCTGAAGCAGAGGGCCGAGAGGCGGCCTTCCCCAAAGCCTGCAGACCAACCCCGGCCTGCAGGACCAGGGTTCCCGCTCTGCTGGACTGCAGCTGCTGCCCCCGGGGCCGGGCTGAGTCAGCTAGGTCCCTACCCCACCTCACCCTGCCCTGCCCCAGGGCCCAGGAACTACTCAGGGACACCCAAAGATCAAAAGTCTAGCTCTGCCCTAGCCAGTGTGGCTCAACTGGTTAAAGCATTGGCCCGTAAACCAAAAGGTTGCAGGTTCAATTCCTGGTCAGGGGTGTGTACAGCGGGCAGTTATGTTTCTCCCTCACACGGATGCTTCCTCTCTCTCTTCCTTTCTCTCTCTAAAAGCAATGAAAAAAATGTCTTCAGGTGAGGATTAAAAAAGAAAGAAAGAAAAGTCCAGCCCAGCTCATTTGTCCTTCCCCAGGCCCATGAAGAGTCATCTCATTTTAGAATGTGTGAGGTGGGAAGGATCTCAGAACTATCTAACCCCGTGATGGCCAACCAGGCATGGACAGTGTGGGATATTACCCTGCCTCGTGCTGGGCCAGTGGAGGGCACTCTCCTTGCCACAGTCTCCCCATGAGCGCGGACTGCGAGGTGGGGACCCAGACACAGGCCCAGGCTGTGGAGGCCACAGTTGACCCTGGTTTGCCCTAGGCTACCCCCATTTTACCTGAGTGATTTCCAACTAGAGAACTGGCTGGCAGGGCCGGTGACACAATGGGGTAGCACGGGCGGTATGGGGCTGAGCTCTCTGACCAATTCTGCTTTGAAGAGTCAAGTACCACCCGATTCGGGCCTGCGTGGAGGCTTATGGCCCTCATTAAGCTGATGCCTTAATACTCAATCCAATTTTGCCTTTCACCTTCAGTTCCAGGTTTTCATTGTGCCCTAGAAGTGGCCCCCTCATTCTCGGGGACCTGGGGCCCCTGGATCATGGGAGTCAGGCCCATCTCCAGGGTTCCATTGACTTACAGATGCATGCGGGGTGGTCTCAGCACAAAGCCCTGCTGAAGTACCCGGCGGCGGGAGGCGCTGGAAGGCTGAGCCATAAAAACTGAGTCTGCCTGGCTGTTGCAGCCAGAAGACTAGTTCTGGTGCCTTCAGGGAGTGGATCTCTGACTGACCCTCCGGAATGAGCAACGAGGGCTCTGCTTGGCTCCATGCAAACCCGGCAGCCCTTTGCCTCCCAGCAGCTCAGGAGAAGAGAATGGGAGGTCAGATGCGGTCTGGGCCAGCCATGCCCAGTACCGATCCCAGGGCAGCTCAGGGGCTCTGCTCAGCCCAGCAGCTGCCTGTGTGACCGCTGGGGGGCAGACCAGGAGCAGGAAAACAGTGCCCCATAGCCCCTTGCCGTGGGTGCTGTAAAATTCATACTTATGTTTCCTTACACTGCTTTATTATTATGTGCTTACACTGCTTTATTATTATGATTGGCACTGCAAGGTCCAGGGGGTTTCTCCCACTGAGCCAGTAGCCCTCCCCCTCCATTCCCACAAGCCTTCCTCCCTGCAAGGTACATGGTGTTAAGGGGCGACTGGCGGCTGCCCACCACAGACTTCGCACCGTGAGCTGTGCGGTTCTGGGTGGAAGCAGAGATGCCACCCCTCATGCTTCAACCAGCCCGAGGCATCACCCCTATCAGGACGTCTCCTCTCCCCGGAGGGCTTTATGTGATCGGTGACATAAAGGGCAGGCAGACCTCTGTTCCAAAGGGCTCCCCCGCTGCCTGCCCTGGAGCCAGGCCGTCTGAGTCACAATCCTCAAGTCACAGGCTGGCACAGCTATGGGTGAGGTAGGGGCCCTGGTCCAGCCTGACCACCTCACCCAAGGTGAGCACTGCCTTGGAGGGGAGCTGCTGGGACTGCTGTGGGGGGGTCCCTGGTGCACACTTCCAGTTGGTCAGTGTTCTCTTCGTTCCCCTTGCCCTCCGTCCTCGGGTCCAGGCTGATCAGGGGCTCTGGGGAAACTACTGGTATTCAGAGCGAGGATCAGCCTTTCCCAGAATCCTGTGAGAGACCAGAGAGAGGGTTCAGATTTGACATGGGGGGCCTCACCTCCTGCAGAGGTTCCACCGGCTGGACTGGGTGGGCTAGGACAGCTATCCCCCTCTCGAGGCAGAGGCAGTAGACTGTGTCCAGGGAAGGGGACTCTGAAGAGGGACTCCGAAGGCTTTGGGGGAACCAGTCAGTGGAGCAGACTGGCCTGGGGCCCAGCCTGTCACCGTAGTTCTATCTAGAAAATGCAAATGGAGGACAGGAGGGAGAGAACAGCCTTGCTAAGAGGCAGTGCTAGCCTGACCCCTTCCCTACCGCCCTTCTGCTCCTCTGCCCTGCCCTTGGGAAATGGCTCCCAAGGGCCCAGACAGCTGTCTGTGCGGGGAGGGTCAGGCTGGGACTGAAACCCTCCTGAAGGAAGGGCTCCAGGAACAAGGCAGCCATTTCTGGTTGGGGGGAGAAAGAAGAGGAACCCTTCGGGATAAAGGGCATCTGAGCCAGGGTCCGAGTCCTGTGTTACCCAATCAGGATGGCAGGGATGAAGAGGAGGCCAGCTCCCAGGAGGAAGGGGAACCCCTTCATGAAGTTCAGGGTGGCTGGGTAGATCGAGTTGAAGATGCTGGAGGCCACCAGCATGGCCAAGCTGTTTATACAGGCCACAGCAGAGAAGAGAGCACCTGTGAAGAAGTAAGTATCACGCCTGGCGTCTGGAGGCCTGGGTTCAAATCCTGCCACCGCTACCTCACAGCTGTGCAACTGGGACGGGTCACTCAATCTCTCGGAGTCTCAGCTTCCTCACCTATAATCCCGACACCCTGGGCTGGGAGGATTCGGCGAGGTCGTGTGTGGCAAGGAACTGCACACAGAGGCCATGAAACAAATGGCTGTTACAAGTACACATGACAGCTTCTAACAAAAGCCTGAGAAAAATGGTTTTTGGCTTCTTCCCTTCAGAATCATGTCCTGTCTGAGGTTAGCTCCGGGGCTAACTCCCAGTTCCAACACTCAGAGCTGTGTGGTCGCTGAGCGAGTCACTCCTCCTTCTGGGTTTCTGTGCCCCTTCCATTAAATAAGGATGCTACCTATTTTCACAGATTGTTGGCAACATGGCGTTCCCATCTGTAGCCCATCCCAGGGCCTGGCCTGCTGGAGGGAGCCAGTTAGTGGGGGCTGTTCTTCTCTCTTGTGCCCCTTGGCACCTCTGGGCACAGTGCAAGTGCCAGGTAAAAACTTATCAGGTGAATGAACAAAAGCACAGGGGGCCTGGGGACAACAGAACTGGCAGTGGGCACCAGGTCCTCCTTTCAGGGCAGACGGGGAAAAGGGATGGGCCAGATGTTTCCCCCCTGGGATCTAAAGACCCAGAGGCTGGAGAAAAGCTGTTTTTTATAGATATGCAGGCAGAACGTTACACTGTCTGAGCTGGAAGGGCCTGCAGATATCATCAAGAGCAAACCACTCGTGTACAGAGGAGGACACAGGCCCTGCCCGAGATGGCACAGCCGGTGGGGCACAGAGCCAGAACTAAAATCCAGAGCCCAAGACCTGCTGCTCTTAAAAACAAACCTGGGTTTGCATCCTAGCTCCACCTCTTGCTGAGTGACCCCAGGTGAGGCCATTTAACCCTCTGGGCCTCTGCTTCCTCACCTGTCACTTGTGCACAATGAAACCTACATCACAACATTGTTGGCTCCCACTGAGCTTACACACTCTGACGCTAGCAAAGCAGGGAATTCTGGCATCGCCTCATCCATTTTACAGATGGAAAAGCGGAGGTCCAGAGAGGGCAAATCCTCTGCTTTGGTTACCCCAGAAGAACAGTACTACGCTCTGCTCACTGTGGATTCCAATTCTGCAACCCGAAAACCCCAGGCACTGCGGCCCTCTGCCGGCCCAGGACAGCCTGTTCAGGGACCTCGGGGCACAAGCAGCCAGATGTAGTTAGTTGGCCATGACACTCACCCTGCTCCGATTTGCTCACCAGCTTGGAGAGCTTGGCCCGGACAATGGGTGTGATGACTAACGACAGGAAGAGGAGCCCATACCCTGTGGAGAAACAACAGTCAGGAAAATGGGATCAGGGTGAGGGCTGTCCACGTAAGATGTAGCAGAGCGCCTGCACGCACCCCAGGTGGGACTCAGGTTAGACACAGAAAGAACTTCCATGATGGTGAAGGACACAATGACTAAGGAGCAACGGAGACCACCCTTCTTAAGCTTTGGCCTACCTGCTACATCTTTTGTGAATGAACACTGACTCCCCACCAATGGCGTTCTTGCCAGAATACCTCCTGTGGTCCTAGCAGGTATCACCACACAGCAGGGAGATGGCAGGGCACAGAAAACAAGAGGCAGCCCCCAGTTCAAAACCTGTGCCACAGAACTGTGTGGCCTTGGGCCTGACTCCCACCTTTAAAGAAATAGCAAGGCCTTTACCACAAGATGGTTCTGGGGTGTAGGAGGCTGAATAATGGTCCAAGACATAGATCCTAATCCCTGGCATCTATAAATGTTGCCTCATTTGGCAAATGGGCCTTTGTAGATGTGATCAAGTTAAGGATCTGGAGATGAGGAGATTATCCTGGACAGTCAGGCTGGGCTCTAAATGATTGCTTGTAAGAAGGAAGCAAAGGAAGATCTGGCACCGACAGAACGGAGGAGAAGGCACTGTGACTGCAGCGGCAGAGAGCACGGCGATGCAGTCAGAAGCCGAGGAACACTGGCGGCCTCCAGAAGCTGGAAGAGGTGAGGGAGATTCCCTTCCAGAACCTCCGAAGGGAACATGGCCCCGCTGATGCCTTGCTTTTGGCCCAGTGACACAGATTCTTGACTTCCTGCCTCCAGATCTGTGAGAAAATATATTTCTGTTGTTTTAAGCCAATGAATTTGTGGTGATTTGTTACAGCAGCCCTAGAAAATGGACACATCAGAAAACACCTGTGAATAGCACCACACAGCAAGCACATGGTCAAAGCAAGTTCCCTTTCACTTAGCATTTTGTTGCTGTTTCCTTCATAACCATTTCCTGCCCTTGTGTGACTACTACCCCCTCCGTTACACTGCAGGCCCCTAGAGCAGTGTGCGCCACAAGAATTTTTAAAGCATGCACGACCTATTTAGTCAGGGGCGCTGACCGCTTTCCCCTTAGGCTGTCAAACTGAACAATGATGACAGCCAACATGATAGCTGGCCAGTGTGAATAAATCACAATTATACCTAGGTTTTGGGGGGGGGTTTTGGTCAGACTGGCAAAAAAAGCTTTTTTTTTTTTTTTTTTGGTGTGCTGCAGAATTTTAGTCATTACGTGTGCCATGGGATGAAAAAATTTAAAGAAGGTTGAAAATCACTGCCTTAAAGGACAGTGGGTCCTCCAAAGTGGGTATAGGATGAGGCACCCCAAATCCCACTCTGCTGAGGCTCCGCAGAGCCACGACAGGGTCTTTATCACCTCTGCAGCTCCGAGGGCTTTGAGTCCAGCACCGAGTCCATGGGAGACACGGTGGGCAGGGGAGAAAGGTACCTGGTCCCCTTAGCCGCACTGTCCGGGCAAGCAGCCAAATTAATAAATCTGTGATTACTGAATGGCTGACTTTGTACACAGTTTAGAGCTTTATCAAAATAAATCTGTCCCTTTAAAAAAGTTTACTTCCTCATCCCCAGCTGCCCCTCTCCCACCAAAAAAAGGGAAGAACTAATGAAAGCAGGAATTTGATTATCTGTGGGAGGAGAAGACCGGATTTTTCAAAAACCAAAGAAGCTGACCAAGGATATCTGAGGTAGGTCCTGTGACTGTCAGAAAAGTGAGTATTAAGACACTAACAGCATGGACTTTGTCTAAGAACACCATGATTGCAGGCTGCAGGAAGCAGAGGCCAAGGACTGAAGCAATTAGTGTTTGGCCCATACTTCTGCCTGATGCACTATCTTGCTAACAATATTTATGACCGATCATGTGGATTACTTTGGGTATTGAAGTTTTATATTTTATGTATAACAAAGATGCCATTTTTACGAGTTCCTTACTTATCTTTCTTCCAATGCAGGCTAGGAACATAATGTTTCCAAGAGCATGAACCAGCAAGTGGCTGGTCCCCAATTTTCACCCAGCACCTCTGGGACAAACTGTCCTTGAGCCCACACACATTACCTGTGAACATAAGGGGGGTGTTGGTAGCAAATGCAAAGAACACCATCCCCAGGATGTTAAAGGCCAAGCCAATCTCAGCCACCCAGGTGTCATCCAGGCAGGTTTGCAGAAGCCGCAGGCCCAGCAGGCTGGTGAAATACGGGAGGTGCCTAGCGGCAGAACCGTAGCCTATCAGCTTGGAGTCCCAGCAGAGGGGTCTGCTCAGCTCGTAGATGGTCTGGATGTCCTGAGCCCCAAAGTGCACAGTGAGCACCACAAAGATGACCAGTGAGTACAGGGCTAAATGCTTCCTGGACTTCTCCGGGGCTGGAGCCATGTAGAGCTGGGCAATGGATCGATGGTGACGGAGCGTGAAGAGCCGGGAAGGTGTTGGCTCCTTCAGTGTCTCGCCAAAGCAGAAAGCGGCATAGAAAGCCATGAATATCAGCAAGGCCAAGGCCAGCCAGAAGGGGTTGGCATAACCCTGGGCATGGAGCCAGTAGCCCCCAAGGAGGCTCGCCAGCATCCCTGCCACTCCGATGCATGCTTCCAGCAGGGCCATTCGGATGGTTCGGCTGTGGTGGGTGCTGACATCTGCCACGGAGGCAAAGCCAGCAGCCAGGAGGCCATTGAAGTCACCAAGGAGGGCACAAAGGATGCGGCCCAGCACGAAGAAGCCAACATGTAGCTGCAGCTGCACCACAAAGATGGACACCAGGGCCTGTACCAACAGGCCCAGCGAGGCCAGCACCAGCAGCGGGCGACGGCCCACACAGTCACTCCACGCACCCAGCAGGGTGGACGAGAAGAGCCCCACCAGGAAGCCGCCCACATTCATGTAGAGCGTCCAGTGGGAGGTGAGGGTCTCCACTTCCTGTGGGGGTATGAGTCTTACCAGGGTGTTGTCCTGCCTCTGGGTTTCCCTTCACTCCGTCCCACCAAACCCCCACCATCCTGGGAAATACAGGGATGAGGGCTTTCTCTGGAGCGCTAAACCTTAGAGACTTTTGGTACAACTATCAAATTCTCCCTGGAAGGTAGTTGCCGGAATTGGACCTAGGCCCCTTCCCTTACTTTTACCCCCTTTCGTTAACTCCCAAGGCTGGAGGACCTTGCATCCCCATACTGCAGGCCTCGGTCAGGCCCACCACCCAATAACCAAAACCCCCTTGGCAGCGCCACCTTCACGTTCGCCCCGCCCCGCAGCTGCCCCCAAGCCTTAGCTCGGGCCGGCCCCCTGCTTCCCCCGCCGCTGCCGCTACCTGCACGGCGGGGTTCACGCTGTGGTTGCTGCAGCCACCTCTGTCGTGGGTGCCATTGTAGCCGAGGTCGGCACTGAAGCGGTACCAGAGGTACTGCGTGGTGAGCGGGCCCTGCAGGACCAAGGCGAAGTTGCCGAGAAAGATGAGCGGCTCCACTGGGCCGCGGAACAGCACTCGAGGCGCGGGGAGGGCGCGGGTCGCGCCGGGGAAGCTTGCGCGCGGCTCCATGCGCGCATGCACCGCAGGGCAGCCGCCAGGAGGACCACGGGGCCTTCTGCGCCTGCGCCAGGCGTCCGTTCCCTTTTTAAAGTACAGCCGGGCGGGTCCGGGGCTCTTGTCCCACTCATTCTCTCCCCGCCCTGTCTGGACAGACTAGGGCCCGCACCTCGCTCACAAGGTGACCTTAGCTGTCAACTGTGCAGCTCTCCTTCCCAGACTCAGAAACACTCAGACCATTAACGGAAATATCAGTATTTAACATTTATTGATCGTTCACGGTGTACTGAGCACTGTACTAAACTGTGTGCTTTAATCTCCAACAGCCCTATAGGCTAGCCGCTATGAGTGATCTCAACCTGGGGATGAGATAACAAGGACATGGCCTCTCAAAGCCCGAGCAAAAAAACGTGACTTCTGATAACCTCCGCTGATGTCTTGCGCTGTAGGTCAGAGTGCACCCTCGAGCTTTATTTACTGATTCTGTTCCATTACATGGTCTCTGCTACTATCTTAGACATGCCGCTTACCTCCCTGTGCCTCAGTTTCATCACCTTTAACATGGAGATAACAGAACCTGCCTCAGAGTTGCTGTGGAAGAACGGTTTCTGGTACACTGTAAGTGCTATTATTGTTACTGACAGGCTGTCACTAGCTCCGCTCCTGCCCCAGATCTTTTCCTAGGAAATTAGTCTTGCTTTGGGGCTGGGGGCTGGGGGCTGGCTCTGAGATGCCCTTGGAGAGGCAGAGAGGACCTTCAGTCCCAGCTGGATAGTGCCCGTGGAAGACTGCCTTCCCCGCCTCTGTGGGAGACGTCATTGCGGCATGGCCTCCTCACTCAAATGGCAGTCTTACAGCAGTTTAGGCCCAAAGCCTGTGCTTGCTTTCTGCACATGGCCAACCACAGCGTTTAAACTGCTGACCATATTTTGGGATTTTAAGAGGAAGGGAGGAGGCCCTGGCCAGGTATCTCAGTTGGTTAGAGTGTCGCCTTGATACGCCAAGTTTGCTGGTCTCTCTCTCCCTACTTCTCTCTTTCTCTCTAAAGTCAACCAATATGAGGAAGGGAAGAGAGGGCATGAGGGGAAAGCCAATTCCTGTTTTTTTGTTGCTTCTCACATGTCAACTCTAAGAGTCAAAGCGGCATTCATGTCACAACTAAGGCTGTTCATAGCCCTGAAGTGGAAGCTGCAGCTCATAGGAAGCGAGACTCGAGCCAAATCTTTTTCTGGCCTCCGTTTTCTCATCTGTGAAATAGTCTCTAGCCTCTGTTTCCTGGTCAGAAAAATGATGGAATAATGTCTACAACCCATAGGAAGGGCATTAGGGTCAAATAAGAAAACCCATGTGGCTTTGAGCTTTTGCGGCATGTCTGGCTGCCAGAGGTGGTGGCTGCTGTTGAGCTGAGCTTGAAGGCGGGAGGGATTTCACCGGAAAGACGCGTCGCTGCACGAGGTGAGGGTCAGACAGACACCATGTCCAAGGTGAGCCTTGGGGAGGAAGGCTGTCGGAACCCAGGGACGTGCAGGGCTGCAGATACAGCTCCCCAACCACGTGCCCCACAGGGAAGAGTCCCCAAACCACTTCCTGTCTTGGGGCGCCTACCTGTGCTTTGCTTTCAGTTTAAACACTTCATTCTTTTTTTTTTTTTTTTATCCTCACCCAAGTATATGTTTATTGATTTTAGAGAAAGAGGAAATGTGGGGTGGGGGGGAGAGAGAGAAACAGCTATATGAAAGAGAAACATCTATTGGTTGTCTCCCTACGCACTCCATCCAGGATTGAACCTGCAACCTAGGTACATGCCCTGACTGGGAATCAAACCTTCAACCTTTTGGTGCACAGGACAATGCTCCAACCACCTGAGCCACCCAGCCAGGGCTAAACACGTTGTTCTTGACAGAGCCTTACCATCTCTCTGACCCTCCATCCATTCCGTCAGCACCCGCTGCTTGCCAGGCCCACTCCTAGGAGATGGGGTTGAAGACAAAAGCTTATACAATCCCTTCCTCAAGGAGTTCCCAGGCCAGGGTTACACAAACCCAAAATGACAACAATCAAAGTATACAATAGCTTCAATCAGTTCAGAGTGTCCTCAAGAGGAAGTCTAAAATATTCACGGCCAAGGAGCTGAATTTTAAAATTTATCGATATCATTTCCATCGAGGGAATTGAACTTGTCACCACTTCTCCAGCCAGGGCCAAGGAGCTGAATTTTGAAGCATGAGCCGGTGAAGGAGTTACCAGGAAGAAGAAATGGAGAAGGGCTTTCTGTGCCATAGGAAAGGCGGGCCCATGTAATTATCCTGTGAATAGCACCGTTGAACAGCACTCTAGCGTATGTGTTAAAATGTGTTAGCTTGTTACATGTAAATGTTTAAAACATTCTATAAAAACCGGTCTTGGCAAGTGTTCGTTTTTACTTTACCTACATCAAGTAAGGGAAGTGGCCCAGGCCTCCAGGAGGCCCTGCGAGAGCTCCTTGGGGCCGACACAGTGTGGGGGTGACAATGAGGGTAACATCCAGGGGTCCTCAGGAAGGACATCTTTTAGTCAGGCCCTCCCTCCAGTGCCGGGCTCAGAACCCCAGCTGTGACCGTTGGTCTGGAGCACCTGGCTTTTCTAAGGGCAGCAGGGACCTAAACTAAACACAACGGACAGCAGGGCGCCAGCCGGCAGTCTGTTCACAGACCATGAGGACCACGTGGCTCATCTAGAGCCACCATTCCCTGTACCAGGGAAACAGGCAACGGAATCCCAGGTCAGAAAGGTGCTGCGTAAGCCAGGAGCCAGAGCCCAGGGAAGGGAGACGCTTTGGCGGTGTTTTCTCCCTGCACAAGGGAAGCCACCACCGAGAACTGCTGTTCAGGCCCAGAAGTGCTTGCAGCGCCGGCAGCCGGGCTCAGCCCCTCCTTCCTCGGTGGTGTTCCTGTACTGTTTCCCTACGCTGATCAGGTGAGCATGTCCTTGTTTTAAAATCCTCAATGGAGGATATGTTTACTGATGTTAGCGTGGAAGGGAGGGAGAGAGAGAGAGAGAGAGACATCAATTGAGAGAAAACATCAATCAGGTGCCCCCCTTGTGTGCCCCAACCAGGGATCGAACCTGCAACCTGCAACCTTTTGCTGTACAGGACGGTGCTCCAGCCAATGGAGCCACACAGCCAGGGCTAAACATCTTTTTATAGCTGTGTCAATAGGTTAATTGGCCACTGTTGAGGGGACTGTTCTGTGCTAGCCATTTCACAAGTATGATCTCTTGTCCTCATGATAACCCAGTGACAGAAGAATTGTCACCCCTGTTTGGCCCTTGGGAAAATTGGAAAGATCACAGACACACGCCCTGCGGGCTGCAGGTGGCCACAGGTATGTTTTGCTCGATTCACACGTGTTAAAAAAAAAGAACAGTTAGCCCATAGCACATTTCAAAGTTTGAATTAGTTGCCAACATCTGCCAATGGGAAGAGTCCCATGAAAATTCAGATTCCTGGATTGTCTTGAAAACTGAGACATCATGGCAACGCCCACACAAGCCCGTGCCTGGCTGAGGCTGGAGGGGACCACGCCTGCCTTGAGGCGGGACTCACGTTCTCCAGCTCACTGCTCCCCCCCCAACTCCCCTCGACTCAGACGAAGACCGCCCAGCCCTGGGGGTTGTGGAGCTTGCCGCCCCTTCTCCGGGCTCTGCTGCCGCCTGGGAGCAGCATCCCGAACCTCCCACAGGGCCTGTGCGGAGGCTGTGAACGTGAAGCAGGTGGAATCACGTGACACTATGCCAAGCTGCTGTCCTGAGGGTCTGAAACACATTGCTTCCCCTCATGTTAGGTTGATTTAATTTACTCTGAACTAATCACCCCAGTGTCCAATCCGGTGTTGCTGTACCCCACAGCAATGGAGAGGGAGTGTGAAGCCAGAGGAGTCAGCAGGGACCAGATGACACCTCTCGGGAGTTCAGTGGGGCTGTTACGGAGCCTGAGGTGCTTGTGTGACATCCTGGGGGGGGAGGGGCTCCCATGAACATCTGTCCCCAGGGCTCAGGAAGGGCAGGGCGGGGAGTCATCCACATATGTGTGACAGAGTCATAGGAGTGGACAGATGAGGAGTGACGTGGAGCCTGGGCAGGGGTCAGAGAGGAGCACGGTCGATTCGGATGGACAGAGAATGCAGATCAGGCAGTGAGAGAGGGGAGAAGAAGCAGGAAAGAGCAACTGAAGCCAAGAGGCAAGGGGGATGACATGCTGGTCACTAAAGAGAGGTCTAGGGAATTGAGGTCGTTGGCAATTGAGGGGCAGGGCTGGGCACCCCAGAAGTTTTCACAAGTGAGATAAGAGAAGGAAAACACAGAAATTGGATCACAGGCCCGGCAGGTGTGGCTCAGTTGGTTGGGGCATCGTCCAGTCAACTGAAAGGTCACGGGTTTGATTCCCAGTTGGGGCGCACAGGCCTGGGTTCAAAGTTCAGTCCCCAGTCAGGCAGCAAGCGAGAGGCAAAGGATCAATGTTTCTCCCTCACACTGACGTTTCTCTCCCTCTCCGCCTCCCTCCTTTCCTCTCTCTGTAAATATGTCCTTGGGTGAGAATTAAAAAAAAAAAGAAGAAGAAGAAGAAAGCACAAAAGAAAAAAAAAAGCTTAAAACGAAAAAAGAAAGAAACTGAACCACAATGGGTTATGTAAGTATCAAAATGGACATTCAATACCAAGCAATGAAGCAGAGCTGCCCCTTGACAAGCTCAGCCTTGGGGAATGTCGAAAGCAAGACATGACACGTTCTGGGGGCTGAGGAACTTCAGGGACAGGCGGGCCTAATACCGTGGCCGCTGGAATCCCAGAGAAGCACATCCCAGGCTGAAACTCAGGGGAACAAGAAAGCGGAGGCTGCAATGTGAGCCCACCCAGCTGGTCAGGCGGATCGGAGCGCAGGCGTGTCCTTGCCTTCTCCACGGAGTCGACCTGTCAAGGCAGCCAGCTTCTCTGGACGGTCGGAGCACTGGCACTTTCATACGTATACTCCAGTGCACCTAGGTCACCTGTGGCAGTTAGCTAAGCGGGGACACCTTCACAGCCGAACCA